TTCCACTGGGGGAGGTGCATTGGAACCCAGGTGCAGGTGGTCAATTGTTTATGTAAAACCAATTACTGCACTCAGCATTCCTCTGCCCAAACCCAGCTGGAGCACGAGGGATGCCATAGGTCAAGAAAATAAAATGATCTGCAGTAGCTTAGTTCCTTTATTTTCTCTGTAAAAACATACCAGATCACATAGCACATTTTTTGCTGTCTAAGACAATTCTGCAAATCCTAACAACTGATGACAGAAGATGCACTTCTGTGGTGCACAGCAGTGAATGGTGCATAAAGGTCTCCACATGGACTATTGGCTGATGATGATCTCATGTGTCCTCTCCAATCTCTCCTTGAAGAGAGGGTACAAGCAGAGATTTCCATTTTTTCCTTTCTAGACAGCTGGCAATGCTATCTGTGGCACACAGCTATCGGTCACGTAGGCTCTTCAAGCATGCAGGCAGCTTATAGAATCAATCCTTATATTACACAGAGAAGAAATATAGTCTCATATTTCTCATTGTGAGAGGAAACCTGGCAAACATCTCTAAAGACACAGCAAGCTTTCTTATGCTCATACAGCACAGAGTGAAGTTGTTTTTTTTTTTTTTAAAAAAAAAAAAAAGATGAAATCAATGCAATTCAACCCCTCTATTTTCACCATTTTCCTTCCCTCAAAGTAGACATCCTTGTCCCCAGCAACAAACAATAACTTATTTAGCAGAGATGTGCTCTTTGTTTTTTCACAGCAGTTCAGACATGTACACAGTCAGTCCATCGCTTGTTCTAATTCTTCTACCATTTCAGACTAATAGAATAAACATTCATTACCCACTATGTTGTCATGAAGCCTATTAAACAGCATTAAAAGGACAAATGCATAGAAGAGTCAAGCGTGGTAGCAATATACATAATGTTATTTTCTTCATGGGTCAGAGGACTCCTAGGAACTGGTGACTTTTCTAGTTGTGATCTCCCTTACAGCAGAAGTCAGCTTTCATCATGTTAAAATGATTCCTTTCGCTCTGCACATCGAGACATTTTATTTCTTCCTCAGTTTCTGACTTTCCAGTTCCCCATTCCTCCCTTTGCCCCTACCCCAACTACATCTGCCATGCTGCCTGCAAATGCAGCCTGTGCAAGCTGATAAGATAGCTACTGTCCTGTCACAGCACTCACGACATTAGAGGAAACACTGTAGAATTAAAAAATCAGAAACAGCAAATGAGTTTGACGTAATCCACTGTAAACAAGACAGCAGCAACCATTTTACTAACGTGTTTCTAAAAGGCCTCCTTGAAGTTCACTATCAGATGCTTTACCCACTCTCTCCACTTTAAAAGCTTGTTTAAAAAAATAAAAAATAAAAAAAACAGCAGACAAATAATCACTGTACATACAGTACATCTTGTGTCAGGGTGCACCAGAAGGCAGACTAGGACAAGGCTATACAGCCATACTTCCTACTCAGCCACCACGTTTTTCCCTCCCCCAACAGCTATTGCTAGATTCATTATTAATAAAAAACCACACACACTGTTCAGCCCATTCAGAAGGAGATAACTTACCTTATATGCAACACACACTGTATTAGTAGTATCCAGCTGCCTTTCTTAAGGATGGAGTAAGGAAGTAGGTAAAGAACTGACACTACCACAAGAACCTTGATATGAAGCAATGGCTTTAACAAAGAAAGCTGAACTGTAGCTTCACTTCTACTCCTCTCTCACTTACCCAGGTGCTCAGAACCAAGTTATTGCCTCCAGCTGTGTGTCTCAGTACTACCAGTAAGGGTAGAAAGGGCAAAGGCTTCTGCATCCAGCCTGTCTCCTAGAGCAGCTGTGACAATATGATTACTGGCATGGTTCTGTTCCCTCACTGGGGCCTTGGGGGTCTAGGTGGGTCATCTGGGCTGCTGGCCTGGAATACTCATCTCCTTGGTTAGGAGTGGGTAGGGAAATTGATAAAGATGATAGGGGAATGGTTTCCCTTTCTGGGTGGGTTAACTCCCTTTATTATCTCAAAATATGGAGGTGCTTCCTCTTTCAGAACTAAAATGATTAATATTTTTGCTCTTTCACCTTCTCTGTAACTGAAGACACACGGTCAAAAGTACCTACACTGATTTTATACTTGGATCCAAGATTAGGTAAAGCACTTCATAAGCATCCAACAATTATGTCTTTTTCTAGGTGCCCAGCTTGAGGCACAGCAATGAGAGTTGACTATTGAAAAGTAAGTATGTGAACTCCATGCATGTTTTTGAGAACTGCTCTGCTGAAGAAGTAAGTCCTGCTCAGGTACGCCATGTTGGGAAACATCAGCCAAGTACAATCACATTTTGAAAATTCAGGTAGAGTTGCTTGCTATATAACCTGACAGTAAGGTTCCTGTCTCATTTTCTGCCATACATTTCTGTGTATGTCACTTTGCAGTAACATCATATTAGCTATTTTTTTCCACAATTTCTGCAAACAGGCTACCAAAATATAGTCGGGAGCCTAGAGGAAGGGCTACTCAAAACCAAATAATAATTCTGGATGATCTGTGTGCAGAATTGGAAGTCTGGCACAGGGTAATTGTAAGTTCCTGTTGGTTCATAGCAGGGGGACAAGTCAAACAGGGTCAGATGTTACAACATAAAACTCACTTCTAGCTTTAGAAACAGTTATACAATAGGCGAAGAGGTGGGAAAAAGAAGTGGATGTACATGAATATCATCTGCCTTTTCTTTGTCCAGTCTCTGGTTTAATAAGGTATTGCTACAATTCTCAGGTATGCTGTTTTTCCTGCTATTCTGGATAAATCATTGTCATCCAGATAGGTTGCCACGTCACTATTCAATTCCTTCCAGTTCATTTCAGAAAGTATGGATACCAGTGGTCCTAGCCTAGTTGTCCCAGAACCCTAGACTCTCTCCTTCAGGAGAACTGCTGTATCAGGGGTACAACCCATTCCCTGTCCTTTAGCCATTGGGGTATATTCCCATTAAGGTCTGTGAAATCAGAAGAAAAACTTTTATCCAACTTTCCCAGTTGTTCTCATTACTCTCAAAGCTTTTATCCCAGAAGACTCCTTCTCAACAGAACAAATTACAACAGCCTCAAGCTCCTTTTGAGTCTCCCTGAATAGGCTATCTTGTTCAGCTTGCAGCAAACAAGACCCTTCATCATGCTGCTGTCATTTCTAGTACTCAATTCCAACCACATAACAAGCCAGTTCAAATTTCCCTTTGTTTTCTACAACATCAGTGCTTTGCTTTTTATATAAATATTCAACTCCAGATTTTTATGGATACTGATTTGTCATTGTTCAGTTTCACTGACTGTTTCCCTATGCCCATGCTGTAAAACAAGGAACAGGGATGCTTACGGTTTCATTCTGGATTACATTTCACAACATATATCTTTCTTTTTTTTTAAATCTTTTCCTGCTGTACAAAACTGAGAAGTAGTATCACTTTCTACAGAGCTGAGCAAAGAGAACTAGAAACTAACTCTGCCATGCATGTCATTCAAAGTGAACACTTGTGAACTGCAGGATAGAATTGATGCTTGATCAGTACTGCTGGATGGCTTCTTCAAAGAGTGACCATTAAAAAAGTGCGCATGCATCTGTATTTGGAAATTGCTTACCCAGCTAGTTGTCCCCAGTTCCCAAAAATATTTCCAATGCAATATGAATAAAAAGTATTCTCCACATGCCAAATGTGAGTGCAAAGGACTACAAAGTTTAAATTTCTTATGAATAATTTGTAATAAATTATGACAAACTAATGTAAGTGCAACAAGGGATCAAGAAAAAAGGGCTACTTGCTACAGGTTAATTCCTACAAAGAATTATTAACTACCTGCCAACCAGTCTTTCACTGCTAGGTATTATTATTATTTAATGATCATGTGGGATCATGTTTTTTAGAGGGAAAAAGTCAACACTCAGAACCAAGTTTCCACTGTAACACATCCAGTACAAGGAAGGCAGCACATAGAATGCTAAGTTCTTACAAAATCTTGGCCCATGAAAGTTAGAACTGACCGTTCTGTTCCTTAATAAATGTCAATGAGACACCAGAGACAATTAGGCTGAATAGTTTTGCTTACTTCACATTTTCTGTTCTTCAGATATAAGGCTGTTCAACTTTTTCTGTTTTATCAATGGTATAAAGGTACTCTCTGAGGACAGTTTGAAGGGGAATAGCAACAAACTGTTCCAGGCAGAAAGGACACATGGAAATGCTGTGCTGGGGTAAATTTGCAGGGAGTTCTCCTTTAGAAAACAAATTTAATTGCCTTTTCCAATCTTAGAATCACATTTCTGTCTTCTCAAATTTCTTAACATAACTAAGCCAGTTTTTCTATAAGAACCATAAGTATGGATAAAGATGGATCTCCATTCTGAAGACCTGGCCATTGCCATAATTTTTGAGATTAATGTCTGTACTTGACACTTAGAACTGCCATTTCCTTGTTCACACATCCCCTTGCCAGAGGGCAGACAGCAGGTGCATTTGTTGGGACCAATTAAAGTAAATGAAGTCAAAAACAGATAAAAGCTGCACTGAAACGTGCTAAGCCAAAGCATTCCTGACACTGTAAATACTTAAGAGTGATACAAAAGGTCAGAGGATAAATAAATCAACAGCTTAAGAAAAGATCATTTGTACCCATCCTATTTCATTCAGAAATGAATGGCATTTGTGAGAAATGGACACATGAAAAAGAATTTTTAAAAGACTGGGTAATTACAGAGGTTGTTTAACATTTCTAAGCAGGGCTTTGGATGATCATTTATGAGAATGAAAAGACAAAGCATAAGGACAAGGGACTGTTGGTGGCGTGCAGTCACTGTGAGCCTGAATGTATGGAGCATGAGCAGAAGCCTGGCTCCTGGTTTACAATTAAAAGCTATGCAGAGCTGCCTCCCCTCAGGTCTGGCGGCACCACTACCTTCAAGGTCATGGGGACACTGAGACCATGAAAGACAATAAAAAGTGTGGAAGGAAGAGAAAGGGAGAAAACAACCAGCTAGAAAGAGCAGAAATTCTTTCTGAACTGTGGGGACAAAAAAAGTAGTAAATTAGGATTCTAACAAGACAAAAAGGGAAAATGTTGCTTTCTATTAGGATTGTTCTTTTGTGGTAATTAATAATCAAACTGTCACAAAGCAGAGGACTGAATTTGGAGCAAACCCTGGATGAGAATGCCAATGATCCAACAAGCCTCAACTTCCGAAATGCCACTCCGAGTCACCCCAAGGTGAGGCAGGCAGCCTTGGCAGGGAGGATTTCAGCAGAGCACTGACCTTCCAGAGGCATTATCTTTTTAAAAAGCAGAGAGAAAGCAGGCATGCTCTTCAGTTTTGCTGGTTTGGGTTCTTCAGAGAGAACAGCAGGAGACCTTGGAGCAAGCCCTTGGTAGAGGCAAAGATGATGCCAAGCGTTTCTGTGCTCTCAGATGCGACCTGAAGATAAGCTGCTGCAGTGAAGAGATGAGCACCAGCAGTAAAAGTACGAGTGGTTCAGAACCTTCTCTGGCTGTTCTGAGACAGCCTACAAGGAGAGAAAAACTTCTGCCTTTAGAAGCACTGTAAATGTTTTGCAGAATATTTAGCACAGAGATTATGAAATGCTGTTAAGACAGCACAACTCCTACCTTGGTTTGCTAAAGCACACCTTGACAGAAACTGTTGTATAGTTAAGGAGTGAAGGCCTCAGCCTCTTTCTTAAATTGAAATTCCATAAAAGAATTGCTGTGCTTTTGTGAACTGGGTCCTGCTCCAGCAAGGAGTCCAACAGAGACTGGCTGCAAAACTTAAAAGAAAAACATTCTAAAAATACAGAAAAGCAATCCTTCCCAATGGTGGGAATCATCCTTTGAGTAGCATACTACAGGAGAGGTATTAGAGAAGAACAGAAAGGTCTTAGAGTTGCTCTGACAAGGCAGAAGCAAAATTTACATTGATATACATTTACTATTAAGATAACATTCAAATTAAAACTGCACAAGGATCTGGACACTCTTGAACTCCCTTTATCATGTACTACATACTATAACCATGCAGAGGAGCAGACCAACAATGCCAACCCTACAAAGTATATCCGAAATGCTAATCACAACAGAAGTCTCAAAACACACCTTGTGCACTACAGCAAGGAAAAAAAGCTTAGAGGCAAGTAGCAGGTATTCTCCTGGCATCTCAAGACCCTGCTGAGGCTGGGCCAGACAAGTGTCAGCAGCTGCAATGTACCCCGTCCCTGTCAGAGAAGCAGAGGTTGGGATTAGCAGCAGTTTGTATGCCATGACAACTCTGTACCTATCCACATGCTAGAAATCAACAGAGCCCAGCTGAGCAGACTAAAGTGTTCCTTAGCTGAATAGCTAAGTCTATGTCTATCCAGAGGTGAGAGCTTTCCCTGGCATCTGCATGACTGCCATAGATACAATTGCCTGTCCATTGGCTAAATGATGTGTGCGTGCACCGCAGGAAGCTCCTCATCCCTGGAGAGGGAGAAAAAAAAAAAAAAAAAAGAATTTATTTTGTAAGACTGACGACATCTCAGCAGTACACAGACTTGTGAGACAGAACATAATAAACAGGCCTGGTATACCAGTCCTGCCCTCATCAGCACACCAATATGCAGTTTAGTTGTACTATTTATGCACTAACATATTTTTTTCCAAGAGCTAAACAAATGTTTTTAGGATTTATACTATACCATCATTATAGGTGCCTCGGAGGAAAAATCAGTTCTTTCTTAACCTTACCAATGTTTTAGACTTGCTTAGCTAGTGTTTGTTTATTAAATCAATTTCTCTTATAATGATCCAAGCAGATTTAAGCAATCAGGAGATTCTCTGGAAAAAAACTAAGAGTAACCATATGTATTTCATAAATACCCTCAAAACATTCACACTGTGGTTGTGCATTGTGGTTGTCTATAATTATGCTCAGTTTTCACTACTCCCTTTAAAGAGAAAAGATACCCAATTTAAAGAGAAGGAAAAACAAACAAACAAGCAAACAAGTCACACACACCATCTACAGAACATCTCCTCACTTCAAGATGGCTGAGGACATGAGTATCCTCTGCTTTCAGCTCTTCCTGGAAGACCTTTGGTGAAACAATTCTGCACGGGGATAACAGCAACATTTGGTCTACAGAACTGACTGTCTTGTTTACTCTACTTAGAAGGAACTGGAATAAACAAGAATCTTCTGAAGTACTCCATTTCATGATTGCACAGTGGCCCTTCGTTGGTTATCTTAACGATACTTTCAACAGTAAGATTTATTTTATTTTTTTACACAATAATTCACTCATATCTCCTTCTACCATCCAGTCAAGCAGAAGTGGGACAAAATCAGGAGACCATCCCCGGAGGGATCTTCAAAGTAATAGAAATAAAGGCACTTTGTCTTGGTAGAAAAGATTGTATGGCTGGAAAGGGTTTTGCAATGGTATGTTTTCTGGCCAACATTTTGCAAAACCATGTCCAAACTCATAACCATGCCAGAATTGTTTCCTAATGCATTGCTAAACTCAGTGAAAGGAAAATCTTGTTCTGGTTCAGAATGGCACATTGAAGGCACCAGTGCAGATTTTTGCCAGGACTCCAAGACTGCATTTGAATGGTTTCAGAAAGTTGCTCTAAAACCTCTTGTCTCATACTCCCATGAGATACAGCTTATTTCAAGGTCGAGCATTTAAAAACGGCATTCCAGAAGGATGTCACCTGGCTGCATCCTACGACTTTAAAGTCTACAGAAGCAAAATGGTGTACTGAATATGTATGAGACAGCCGAGAAGAAAAAGAGCCAGACTGGAATACTGAGATGAGCAACTCTCAGTTGGTACTTCATGGATGTTTGGCTCCCCACAGTGTCACCTGCTCAGGCTGTGGTCCCTGTTGAAAGAAACACCCTTTGTTCAGGCTCACCCAGACTCATAAATAAGTTTGGTTTTTGACAGACCGTAGCAGAGGATGAGCATCCAAAAGAAGGGCTTGGAAGCTCATTTACCTTGTAACTTACAGCACACACTGCAGGAGCATACTAGAATATAATTAAGGCAACTATATTAGATTAGATATTATTTTCAGACATACCCAAAATCAGAAGGCAGGCTTTCAATCAAATATCATGTCAGAGATTAGGGGAAGAAGTGACTGAGCAAGAAACCAGGTCTTGATTGGATGCAGCCCAGGGTCTGGAGCCTGAATCAGATGCTTGAACATTTTGGAGCAACTACATATTCTCCCATTTACTCTCGGTCATTTGGAGTAAGTCAAATGTTTGCACATTGATAAATAGCAACAGATACTCCAGTAACTTGTGTATACTTGTGAAATTCTACTGTGCAAAGCTGTCTGTCCTCACCGTTTCACCAGACAACTGTACACTGAAGTTGTGCATCTTTGAGGCATCTGATGACTTCATGCTGTGGGGAAACAGGAATTCCCATGGGAAAGAACCCAGAGCTGGCTTACCTTCAGCCTGATTCAGTGACTCAACATCCAGTTATAGGAGCTGAGACAGCTATGCCAGAAACCAGGTGTTTTCAAGAGATGTGATTCTCAAACAGTAAAAAAAACACAGACTTTGGCTATCAGCATGAATTAATGCTACTTACTGGTCATAGGGTGACACAGGAAGAATGAAGAATCCTTTCAATTGTCCCAAGAGTGAGCAACTGGAGAGAAGTAACATCTGTGGAGATTTTGAGCTAGCACCTATGCAATGGAGTGGAAAGTTGCATTCCTATTACTGCTTAACACTCGCACATACGTGAACACTGCCATTTGATACTAGCCAATTTTAGGTCTGATCTTTGTTCAGGAGAAGGTGACTCCCAACAGACCTGTGAGAGGAGGGCACAAGTTTACTGCTTCCCACCTCGCAGGTAGCTCAGCAGGGAGGGTTCTTACTGAGTTGCTGAACCCAATAGGGCAGGAAGGGAGATCAATTGTGCTAACCAGAAGTTAGGAACAGGCTACACCACAAAAGCCAGCCCCCGTATCTCCAGAGCCTATATAAAGGCAGAATTTATGCTGTCATCATTCCTTTGATCAAAAGGGCTTGTTCTGCCTCTGTCTTCCTTCCAGTCGCCTCCTTTTATGAAACTCATAGAAACTTAATTATTTTTGAGACGTTCTCTCCCTCAACTCTGTCTGCCAAGAATGATTGAAGTCTGCCAGCGGATCCAGAAGTAATTAGGGGAAGACACACACTGGCAGCGAGATTACCCCAGACACTTTCCTTTGGAAATCAGGCTAAAACTCACAGTATTATATTTATTAAAACTGTCCCCTGAAGTCAGATTTATGATTGCTGAAGTCCCGTTACTGGTGATATGGCAGATTTTTCAAACAGTTTTGGAGGATTATATTTGGTTTCTACAAATCAGATTGATTTCACCCCTTCAGCCCCAGGCAAGCCATCTAGGAACAGTTCTCCCATCTGCTAAATTGAGATGAGAAGTGCTTACCTGCCTTTTCATCTGCAAACAGAAACAATGGTTTGAAGATCTTGCAAGCATTACCCTAGTAAAAAGTAATTATTGTAAACGTTGCTGTAAAATTAGTGCATACACATTGTTTTCTTCTTGAATGGCTGCAGTTTTTTAGAAAGAGAAGTGCTACAGACATTCAATTCTTATATATATTGAAGTGCATTAGAGGAAATCACTCACTTAGCAAATCTTCTACCGAGATTGCTTTTCTACCACAAATTAACTCTTAACGCTTAGTAAAAGAGAGCATTTTATTAAACGGCTTCAGTAACTTTAGGAAGAATATTTGACAAAAAAAAAGTAATGGATTGCAAAAAGTTTTAGGCAGGACTTCCTAAAGCATTTCCTCCTCAGTGGGCGCATCTCCTAAGGCCCTGAGTTCAGAGCAGCCTCACGGGAGGCTTTGCCAGTGCTTAACACGGAACGGCTGAGGTGGAAAGGGACCTGTGTGCCCATCTGCTCCAACACCCACCCAAGCAGGGACTCCTAGAGCAGAAGCAGGTGGCTTCTGAAGATCTTCGAGGAAGAGGCTCCACAGTCTCTGGTCAACCCGTGCCCCGCTCCATCACCTGCATGGCACAGTAGTGCTGCCCGATGGTCAGAGCACATCCCAGACCCACTCATCTGCCCGCTAGCTCCATGAAACCCCCCCTGCTGGCCTGCAGCCGAGGGCCCTGCACGCTGCTCAGGGAGGGCGAAGGTGGGATGGAAGATGCCACCCTTCCAGCGCTCTCCCGTGGGAGGGGAATGCGAGAATTACGGGCGGAAGCGGCGGAGGCGGGGGAAAGGAGGAGGCACCAGCCACCCGGCGACGAAAGGCCGGGAAGTGGGAAACGGGCAGCCAGCGGCACCTCTTCGCCTAATATTCAAACAAAAGCATCTGAAACGCCACCCAGAGCAGGGAACGCGCTTCGCACCCACTCTCGTAAGACAACGCCTGCCCGCTCACAGCCGCGTAGGATCCAGCTCTGCCCGCGAGGGGGCGCCGTAGCACCGCGGCCGGCCGCGTTCCGTGCGGCCGTCCGTCAGCGGGCGGAGCGGGGCGGGGGCCTCAGTGAACGGTGGCGTTGGTGCCGCCTCGGGTAGGCGCTGAGCAGCAGCGCTCCTGTCGTCAGGCTGCAGGACGGTGTAACTGAGCGTGCCGCTAAGCAACGTCTCTTTCCACGCAAAGACGCACGGTGTGAAATCGAAAAAATAACCCCCACTCGGTGTCGTTTTGTGTTCGACGTGCACAGAAAGCTTTCACACAATAACTCAAAGGAGAAGAGCGTTCAGAAAAAAAAAAAAAAAAAAGACATTTAATTATAAAAGAGCCTTTTAAATTAAAAAAAAAAAAAAAAAGATAATGGCACTAAACCAGAAACAAAGTTATTTAAAAGATCATAGCCAGCAGGTTGTAATGTTATGCCAGAACCATGCAGCTGTTCCCGTCCTCTGCACTTTGCTCCTGATTCAAACAACACCTGGCGTCCCGGTTGCGAGCAGTCGCTTACAGAACTATATGTACTACAACACATCATTTCTGCCTTACATGACAAAAACACCTTCTATGTATTACATTAGATTAATAAATATTTTGCTTAAGCACTGATCTGGTTTTCTACTCTATCCTGTAAAGAACAGCAAGTGAGTTTTGTTCTATTGACAAAGTGATTTGTCTCATGGGGAGTGCTACCATGGCTTAGTCCAACACCATGGGGGTACTCACAGAGGCAGAGCATTGGGAGCAGACCTGCTACAGGAGTCTCCAATTTCCTTCATCCTGCTCTGGAGAATCCTTCACTGCATCCTCTCCGAGCCTTTTTAAAAACAGTGAATACTTACACCCCTCAAATTGTTCATACACTGCGGATAACTAATCAGAAGGTGCCCAAATTTGTCCATGACCTGTCAGAATTCTACTTCACTGCTTGTATATAAAATAGAGTTCCAGTGGTTTCTTTGGGAATAACACAGCCAGGGCCTGAATCCAAAGCTCAGTAGAAAGGCCCCTGATTCCTTTAATCAGCTTTGATCAAGTAAAAAAAAAAAAAAAAAAAAAAAAAATCAAATGCAGTTCTTGATTGTATATAGACATTCCTAATGAGGTCAATGTAATTCTGTGTGCATCAGAAGAAAATGCTTAGTTCCAAGGATATCATTTCACAGTAGTTACTTCAGGTCAGCACACAGGTATGCGCTACAGCAGGGGTGAGCTAGTTTACAAATAAACTGTGAAGTGGTACACAGGTTTGTGAGCCCAAAGCATTGCTATGGGACTGGATTCTGAAGCCACAGTCACAGCACTTTGTGCTGCAGTGAGCCATGTTAGTCTGTAATTCAGTATCAGTGAATTCCACAGGGAGAATTCAGTCATTTCTTCCCCGCCAAGAGGAGGATTTGCAATAATTCACCACTGGACTATTAATTTTCAAGTGGTTTGGACAGCATCTATCAGGGAAGGTAGAACTTGATTCTGACCTCATCCAGGATAGACCAGATGTAAAGCTGGTGGTAGGTAATACCAAAGAGCCTATGTACACTCCACAGCAGACCTTTACCCTGATTTTGAGTGAAAGATTTGGTAGTTTGCTACTGTGAAACTGAGCCTACAGTTTCTCTCCACAGTTATTTTATTCACCCTGAAAGTCTTTATTGTGCTCATAATTGGCAGATTTTGGCAGTTCACAAAATGCTCTGCAATTTATCAGATGTCCAAAAACCCTGAAATAAACATTTGCAACATATCCATGTATCACTGCTGAAAAACTCAGACATCTTTCTAGTGGTGACAATATCTCAGAAAGGACACTGCCAAGAGTGGTGAGCTTTAAAAATGACTCACTGTGTTATACTGTCCTACTTAAAAAAAAAAAAAAAAATAGTATCAAGAATACAATCAGCCATAATAAGAATAAAAATATTAAAAAGATCTAGCAAAAAGATGCATAGAAAGCATTTTCACAGTTGTTTTTAAATAGTTTCTATCAAAGTTTACCTAGAAAGTGAACAAAATTAGGTCTTCCAAAGACAAAATATATATTGTACTGCAGTTTTTTCCTGCGAATTTCACACTTACTTGAGAAACGGTTTTAGGTATTTTTAATACTGTACCATTCAGAAGTGCTGATCAGGATTTGGTTCTCCAGTGTCCTACCACTGTGAGAACCTATGTGAACACACACTTCTATGCAAACAGATTTTAGATCTCTAACATAAAGAGGTTAAACATCTGTTTGAAAAATAAATTCTTCTGAAACCAGACCTACCAGATGGGAGTATCATCAAGGGAGATTAGTGCCATTAAAATGTTTAACTGACTTATTCTCATATCAAATGAGTGGGAAAAGTTCTTTCTGGTATCTTGCTGTAAGTAAAAGTGAAAATTTACTAGTAATCACTGTTGGGTTTCCATTGCCTTTCTTTTTTTTTAAACTAGGTAAGTTTCTATTAATATAATACAGCTGAATGTTGAAAGAACACACTACCCCTTTGAAAAATTCAGCATTACAAAGTAAGTCCATCATTTGTTCTTTTGCCATTTGCTTAGCTCTGCTTAGATTTTATAACCCACTCAGCATTTGGGTTGAGTTGGTAGAGGTCCTTCATGTAGGTATCATCATCAAGGCAGCGTTCCCCTTAAAAAAAAAAAAAAGAGGTTATGTGGCTACATCAGTAAAGAAAAAAATTAAAAATAAGAAGTTATTTTCAAAGTTGCTGGTTTATTCCATTTCAGTTTTCAAGCTATTTCTGTGGTATTTAACAATGGACAACACAGCTAAAGCCTAGAAGTGCTTTTAACCTTCTCATCCTTCTTGGAGAAGAAGGGATGCAGGGTTGAGGCTGTGAGGGAAGCTGTGGGAGGTTCCAACTCTGTGGCACTGGGTCAGATTCTTCAGACTATTTGCATGGAAGCTCCACTCTCTGAAGGTTTAATAAAGGAAAACTGGGCCCTGGTTATCTTGTGGTTAATTCAAAATTCCACTGAAGCCCATCAACATTACTTTCTTTTCCGAAATGGAAAGTTTGAGCAGGGTTTGTCCTTGTTAAGAAGGTATTATTCCCGACTCTGCTTCTCTTGGTTAACACTTATGCATAGCACTTCTAATGGTTACTGACAAAAGAGAGAAAAGTAGTACAATGTTTTTGGTGTATTACAAGAAACTCATTTTTGTCTAGTAGCTATGATGAAAAAAACATGCTGTTCCATCAAGATCAGCTTTCTCCTCCCATTTCCCCACGGGCTTTTGCATTTGCAGCTACACACTACAGTACCTCTCCTGCTCCACCATATCAAGTAATTGAGGTGACTGGTAGCTTTTTTAATCTGCTAACCAGATGTTTCTGGAAATATATTCTCCTAAAGCAGAAGGCAAGCAGAGATGTTACCCTGCAGCAGGATCAGCCTGCCAACTGTCTTGACACTCTGCTTGGAGCAGGCAAGCAAATGAGATTGCCTGCCCAAATAGGCTCTTCCTGATCAACCTCCATCCCCTCCCCATGCCTGGTTGCCTGGCACCCTGTTGTCTCTCAGTCATTTTTATCCCAACCTGTGTGCCATGTACCACCCACACTCCTGGACAAGTCCCTCAGTGACAGCACAGGATGAAATAAGTTGTGGATGATCCACCCCTGAATGTGTTCAAGGCCACACCAGATGGGACCCTGGGCAGCCTGATCTAGTGGGTGGGAGCCCTGCTCACGGCATGGAACTGGAACTGGATGATCTTTAAGGTCCCTTCCAACCCAAACCATTCTGAAATGTTAGGATTTCTGTATCCAGTCATGCTCATGAAGCAATAGCAGAAGTCCTGTTGAGTGCCATGAAGCCCAGTGTACTGGGCACACCAAAAAATGTCTGGAAACTTCAGCAGCTCCATCTGTTAGGGTAAAGGACGTCAGCATTGCTCATATTACAAATGTGAGCATAAGCATATGAGCGCATTATGAGCCTGTCAGCTTGTTTGCCTTTTGGGCTCTTTGTACATCAGCTACTTTGGGAAGATAGGAACTGCAAAGATCTGGAAAGCTGGTCTATGTCAACCTGCAGGTTAATATCAGGGAGTTCTTGTCTCAGCTGAAAGACTGAGTATATAATGGATATGCTAGAGAAAGATAATATACTAATCTGGCATCCAGATTTTTTTTTTTTTTTTTTTTTTTTTTTTTGTCTTCAAAGCTACTAAAAGCACTAAAACATCTCTTGCAGGGAAAATATGAGTGTTATTTTTAACTTACATTAAATTTTTCAGTTTAGACAAAAAAAATAAATTGAAGTAGCGATTAGGTTAAATGGAATAATGATAAAAATAGCAACTACATGTAGTATTTAAACATGTAGTACAGATGGCATATTCATGAAATTTTATGCTTTCAAATACAGCTTAATATAGAAAAAGTGAATGTAGGATGTAAGTTCAATACAATGCTGTCTTCTAGGTTTTGAGGTGTGTCGGGTTTTTTTATTTTTTTGCTCAGTATATGAAAAATAATGGGAACTGATTTCTAACACAAAAGTACTTTCGTGTTCATCAAAGGAAATTTCTGAACTGCTTTCAGTGTTAGCCTTTGGCCTTCACCTTGCTGATCTGCTATTTGCTTTAATCAGTGGTTACACAGAGGAGGAGAGATTAACTGTTTGAAAATTTCATTACTCAGTCATTTTTCCGTTTTAATGGTCATTTAGTCATTGGAGCCTGCAAGCAACACTCCAATGAAGAACATAAGGGCTGTAAGTTCACCTATTATGCCTCAGTACAAAGAGATGAAGAAGATGAACTTTAAGCACCTTCCAATCCAACCTTTCTATGCTTCTTTATTGTACATAGGTATCAGGAACATCTGTAACAGTAGTCTTCCTCCTCTAGAACAGGTAATAACGTACTACTAATATGATGATTACACCACCTTCTCTGCTTCCTTCTCCCCGAGGTTAACTTTCTGCTTTAGGATGTGAATAAATGTAGTCACACAGTAAATCCATATATTAAGTGCTGAACAGTCTTATTTTGGCAAAAAAAGTTGTACAGAAGCCATTCTTACCAATATTTCCTCCTATTTCATAAAGGAAGACCTCTTCTTTCTTGAGTGTTTGGACATTTCCACTGTCAGGAACAAAAAGTGTAGATTAACTGTATTGCAAAAGAGCTTGTACGCTAGCAAAGAATTTGTACGCCAACAACTGAGACATTTCTGGTAGAAGTTCGGCTAATTAAGATCAGCAGTGCAGCAGCTGTAAATCCTTTTTGTTTATACTCATTTACTGATAAAGTGAACAAGAACACCATTGCATGCTAGTGCAAATAGTCCTGCAAGTGAGCAATAAACTACAGAAAAGGTACAAATAAGATACACAGGTCGCTCCAAAAGTAATACCTCCTATGTATTTCCAGGGAAACTACAACAGATAAAAAAGAACACAATAACATTATTTGATAGAACAAGCTCTCAGCAAGAAAACAATATTTTTCAATGTTGTCACCATGATTAGCTATGCATTTTTGCCACCCATGAGCAATAATCTGCATCCCATGCTTGTAACAATGTCCACCAGTGCAGGTGACCACTGTCATTGTTGCTGCTGCTGAAACACAGCACCTATTGCCTCACTGTGCTCACGTAACACCATCTGGACTCCATAAACATTCAGCATCAGTGAATGTCAGTGGGTGCCATTTTTTCTGCATAGAGGAATTCAACTCCACACCTTTGCTTCATGGGCACTTACATGTCAGACACCATTCTGTCAGACTGCCCCTCTGCTGCCATCTGTCACACAGCAACAACATGTAATGGACTATCGGTGGGAAGGTTCAACCTCTACTGCCACACCACCAACTCTCATGTCATGAGCCAATAAAAGAGAAGGCATTACTTTTGGAGCAGCCTTCATAGATGTGAAGAATTTGTGGTTTTTAGAAAAGCATTCAATTGTTATTAGCAAGTAGCCTGATATTTACCCTCTAATTTTTCTTTCACTGCTGCTGCAAAAATAAGTATTGGCCTCACACACTTCATATGTCTGAAAAAGCCAAGCGGTTGGGTACGGAAACCATATTCTTGCTGGTTTTAATTTTGCTGCAACTAAAAGAAGTGAAAAAACATACAGTGGAGGAATAAGGTCTCCGAATTACAAAAAGATTTTATTTTTCTCACTGGTTAATTCTAATAATATATGCTATAGTGCAGCCAAAAAAATAACTTTCTTTCAAAAATATAAGCCCCTGAGAAGAGCTCTTAAGAAAAACTGTCTTCTTGATTTCACACAGAGCACTGTTATTCCTTTAGCATGAATAGTTGTATATGATACCCACGTATGTTAATGATTTGGGGCTTTTTTGCTAAATCCATTCTGATTTCTTACTTTGTTCATGTATATATAAAATATATGTAAAATCTTTTCTAAAACTTCTTCATTTCTCAATGGAGTTGGATAATTAAAACTTTCCTTTTAAAACACCGCACGAGCAACATTTTCAGTTATCTATATTCCAATACTTGTACTATTGTAATATATTAATGCCATTTTTATATGATGTTTTCTCTTTTCCTCATCTCTTTCTTTCTTAGACTTGTTTTCTTGGATATCCTTTCTTCTTCTGAGAACATAACAAAAGTATTCTTTCAACCCATCAGACTAAAGGGCTGATCGGTTTTTACTAATAGTTTTCGTGCATTCCTGAGGGCTTCGTGAGCTTTAGAGGCATTAGAAACATGAGATTAATTCCTCAAGCGTATATTCTAACGGGCTAAATTCAACCCCAAAGTTCATGAACTCATTTTGATTCAAACAATTTTTAAACTTTTTTCCTTGATAGAATACACGTTAATAAAAATGTATTTGTACCTTTTCTCACTGAGAAATCTGGCTACTATATCACTGGCTTTCAGGTCTTCTGTCAGCTGTATTGCCATGGAAACTTTTGAAAGATGAGGTGCTTGCACCCGTATCACTCCCTGAGGAACATCAGCCTGCAAAGCAATAACGGTGTTGGAACAAAGCTGTGAGCAGCTGGCTTTGATGAGTTACTCAAAATACAGTATGAAATAAGTAACAGTACGGTGCTCTGTAAGTGCACTTTACCACTTTCTACTACACTTCACTTCAGAAACACGGTAACTACAGAGAAATTCAGTAAATTGCATAAGGCCTTCAAATCTCTTTTTACCTACATAAAGAACTTTAGAACAAAAGAATAGTAGTGCTTAATTATTTTTCGAAGATGTTAGAAATAACAGCTACTGCTACATTAAGAACACACCCAAGTATGAAAAAAAGCATATGAGACTGACACAGAAAAGATGGAAAGACTTGCTGTAGGCATGAAAGCTAAGCAGTTCCTTCATTCCATGCCCTCCTTCCAGAGGAGGAAACTTCCAGAAGAAACCTTTCCACTTTCATTCAAACTGAATTTCATGCCCAAAGAGAAAGAAAAGGGAAAAATAGAAAAAGAAAAGAAAAAGAAAAGAAAGATAACACAAAGTAGAATGATCTATGAATGCTTCAAGTGATCCCTATTTTCAGGAAATATTTCCTATAGAAACAGATGTTAACTACAAGAGCTTTCTATCCCTATTTTTGATTCTCCAGAATATCTTCAGCAAGTCAACCTACATAATTGATTTGTATGTTATACCAGTCTAAAAATCCTTGATGACAAATATCAATCATATCACCTATAGAGAAGGAGGGCTCCACAAGATCGTTTTTCTGTTCAACTCCTACATAGAATCATAGAATCCTTAGAGTTGGAAGGGACATTTAAAGGTCATCTAGTCCAACTCCCCTGCAATGAACAGGGACACTCACAACTCAGTCAGAGTGCTCACTGAGAATTTGCTTCACAGTCATCATGCAATCAAAGATTCATAAGGCTGCAAAGGATCTCAAAAAGCAATTCCATATACCTATCTCTAAATTTGCCTGATCTATTCTTTAAGGCCTTCACCCATGGAAACAATGGCTGTAGCTATTGGATAGGAAACTAACTCCTGTTAAAACATCTTTTTCTCTTCTTCCAGACTGTTGGGATCATGCTTCCTAGTAAAAAGATACAAAACTTTTAAAGATAAAGAGGCTATTTGTTTTTCCTAAATGGTCTTTTATCAAATATACTGTAAATTTGTTTCATTTCAGTATACAATTCTGTCCTATTTTGTTTCAGTTGATTTTAATGAAGTTGTTGGCTAACAGTCCTTTTCTCTGTACAGCAGTCATTTAATAAATGATTTCCCACCTTGAGTGCATGAAAGAAGAATGAGAAATGTTCACCGAGCAGTAACATTACAGTCAGAAATCAAGCAAGGTAATTACTCTGTTTATTTAAACAGAATCGTTATTAACTCAGCTAATGAATGCATTTTGCCACTTTCACTACCTACATTTATTCATGCTCAGCTGAACAGTATGTTCATGGTGCCCAGCTACAGAAAAACAGATAATGAACATCATCTAGTCCATTCACTATATAAGCTGGTGGGACAGAAAATTCAGTGATCATAAGTCATGCAGCAGCAGACTTACAGAAGGAACTGTAGCGTGATTCAAAACATTCAAGTTAGGGCTTTTCATAGAGACTTGATCTATGTTTCACAAAAGAGCTGCAGGTACTGCAGTGTAGGCTGTAGGATCTGCAGTGGGTCTCTTGCTGTTCACTTTGCATGACATGCTTGGATATTCATCAGGCTAGACAAAGAGAGGGATGAAGCAACTGCACAGTATTTTCACTTGCAACTCAGATGATGGGCTTATACTCACCAAATGTGCATATGATATCAACCAAGGAAGAAGCACAAGGATTACGAAGAATAAAACTGAAGTTCAAAATGAACTTGCTAACTGATAGACAAAGCCTGAAAGAATTGGGATGCAGTTGTTCTCTTTGCACTGCAAGTAGTACACCTCACTTGGGACAGTCAGCTATGTACAGCTGTATCAGATAAGCCCAGTAGCATTGCACTTTGCCACCAACATGGCTGCTCCTTTATTTAGGAACAATTGCAATATAGAGAGGAATACAGTGACAGGTGGTATCTATTAGCTATTCTAGTGAATAAATTTGCAGTCACGAGGGTATCTTTCTTTGCCTGGCTAGAGCACTGTGCACACCCACCATAGCATAAAGGCTTACTCCCTAACACAAACTTGGGCCATAGAATTGCATGCTTAGCTGCTCCCAAAAGCTATCAGCCTTCATAAACTCCATTAACCACACTCAGCACTGTACAAAGATTTTGCCCCAAATCTGCTCCCTTTGCACAGTAAATGCTATTTCTTAAAAGGGGGAGAGAGAGTGATAGAAAGGCCTCATGAGATATAAAATTTATGCAGATTACCAAATGAGCTGACTGCCACAGAAAATGTTGAGATATTTCTGAAGATTATGGAAGTGACTCAAGCTCTGGCTATCTCTATTTAACCACATGGGGTGCCACAGTATGCATAACTTTTACTTACATTTTATTCAGCAGCAAGATAATTAACTCTCAACAGTTTCAAACAGCATTCACCAGAGTGGTGATTCACCACAAGTTTAAGTGCCTCACTTGCCATTTAATGGTGGAGTTTAGTCCAGGAACTGCACAGTAATTGGGGGGGGAGGGGGGAAAGCTTTTTTCTTAAAGAATTGAGGCAATTTCAGCCACACAGAAAAATGTATAAATGTCATTAACAATGAAGCCATATCATACCTGGGAATATGATTTTAAGAGTACTGTGTTCCCAGGCACCCTAATTATGGAAAGCTTTGAGCAGGAGTAAAAAATGTGTGAAAAAATTCTACTATTTAATTTTGCAGGGATTCCCCTGAGATTTTGGGGGCTTAAATATAATTATTTGATAGCAAACTTCCATTTACGTTTAGGTAAGAATTTGGGGTAAGTATTACATGAGAATTCAGTCATAATTCTCTAGTGGATTAAAAAGACATATTTTACTATAGAAATCATCAGCACTGAATTACAAAAAAATATTCTGATATGTAAAGCTGCAATAGCACTTGCCTATTTCAGTATATATGCTGCTATTTCCATGTTGAACAATGGATGGCAGCATTCCTTTAAGTGCCAGCTCACATTAATTCCACTGAATTGTATTCAAAGAATCCTCTCCTTATTAGACAGTACAAAATAAATGTCAATATTTAATTAGCTTTATTTTAAAACTGTAGATAACTCTTGATTTTTGTATAGATTCCTTCAAGTAAAGTCACATAGATATGAAAGTAAGGCAAAGTCCTGCTCATTAAATTAATTCATTTTAAGGATGTGTCACTACTGCATGCAAAGTGGGTAGGAACACTTAAATATATAGTCCTAGCAGATGCTAGATGCAACTGTCCAAAGGATCCATGTTTTTACAGACTCAAATATATATGTATATATACACATGCATATGTATATTTGCAATATCAATTCAAGTGGATACCATAGAAAATATATTCACATGCCACATTCTAATTTTTGTCTTAATATGTTAACCATCTTTGCTTTTATCAGAAAATGACGATTTTTTTTAACAGTTTGCCGTACTCATATTTGTTGATTCAAACCCATGCATTTTTGCAAACTACCACAAGGTGTCTCTAATTCACTGAAATCTTTAGTTTTACCTCAGCTCACGAGATTGTACACCACTTGTTCCCTCTACAAACACAGACCTGATCTACTTTTATTTCAGACACCCAAATTGAAACAACCTATGTGATATCACTTTTCAGAATAGAAACATTTTGGAAAATCTGGGGAAAAGATAAACAGCTCAACCTTCCAGAATCGTCATGATGGTAATCCATAACTATGAAACCTATCTATTAACCTCCTATTTATTGAAATTCTCTCTTAAATAAATGTAGATATCCTGTTGGCAATATCCACTTTTACACTAGAGAGATGACAGACTTATTAATACGGTATTTCATACATATGTTTTCTTACATCATTAGGAGCCTTGTCCTGCTTCTCGTGCTTTTCCCGATCATAAGCCATCTTTTTCAGAAGTTTCTTCATAGCTTTGTCCTTTTTCTCCTTCTTCTGGTTTTCAGTGTTTTGTTTTCTCACTTGGTTAACAATAAACTTGGGAATCTAGATGAATATAGATGGTAAGCAGTGAATAACCTCATCGTTTGCATAACTAACTAACCAAAACATTATAAATTTACAGATTGTCAAGTAGGAATGGAAAAAATAATATCTATTCCAAAGTAGTAATTAAGGATTCAAATAACATAAAGCTATGAAATAATTTTATAAACAGTGCCCTTGTGATGTTACATCTCTCTCAGTGGAAGAGAAGGGAAATCATACAGGTTGTACTTTCCTCAGCCAAAAAATTCTCTCAGCACTTAGTCTGTACAATGGTGATAACTTTTCCACATTTACAGCAAAGGTCAAGATTGTTTAAAGGTTCTGATGAACAACAAAGGTTCAAGTTCTCCAGTCTGTTTAAGGGAGAGTTTCCTTGAGATCCTGACACAAATTCATGTTTTTATCAAAACGTACTTTATATAATACAAAGTCTGGCCCAAAAGTCTGGATTTAAACACCACATTCCCTGTGAGTATCTCTAAGCAGACAAGAGTAAATTCCTTGTAACAATGCATACCAACAGAACAAATAACAAGATCCCCCAAGGATTTATTTTTGAGTTCACTTACGGTACATACTAAATACTGAAACTCAGACCATCAGAGCTTAACTCCAGCATATGTAATGATTCTATTTCATTTCCAACAGAATCACCTATGAGAAAGAACCCAGCTGGACAGGACTGACTGATCTTTCTCTAAATCGTGGAAAAAAGTTCACATTACTTCTTTGTTCAGATGCCTTGTTTGTGAAATTTATGGGATTTTTTTTTCCCCTTAGGAATACACTTACTGTCCAGAGAAGTTTTTGGTACTGAATCATAAAGCGCATGACATTTGCTGTTCCAGCTGCCATAGCAAACTCGCTCTGTTCAATACTCTTTGAGCCAAGCCCTTGAAATGTGAAAAGGTTTGGGGCCATCACCATCGCAACATTGTTTAGTGTCATTTTGTTTTTCTCTCGATGATCTATTACCCTTTGGAGGAACTCGAGCAGTACCTGGAATTACAGCAGAATGTAAAGCTCAACTTTGCACATGAAAAAGTTAGATTGAAAGGTGATGTTACATATTCTTGGAAAAACCTCACATTATTCCTAACAAAGCCACATTAAAAACAAGAAGTGTGGATATGCTTCTTCACAAGACTGCAATACAAGTTTTCTTTATAGAACAAAGTAAATAATTCTTGTTAATAATATTTTCAAAAGCATTTAAGCCACTCTAAAGTTCTGTACAGTGAGATTTTCCAAAAGACTTCTTATGCAGGTGTGTAAGTAGCATTTCCCATATGCTTTTGAAAACATTACTTTGTTTTTTCTTAAAATGAAAGTGAATACAATAATGCCAGCTGTCATTGGAGTGCCTAGTTCTGTGAGGTACAGGAATAGTGAGTAAACCACTGAATTGTAAATGACAAGTGGCCAGTTACAAACTGTCAGTCTTCAATTAATTCAGTTCCAGATATTTGTAACTCTACTCAGGAATCCTCCTCAGTGCTTCCACACATTAAGTTAACTCAAAAAGGAAAATACGTTTAAACAATAAAAACAAACAGGATTTTTTTTGACTATGGTAGAAGATGTTCTGTATTCCCCAGAAATCCTGCAAATTCACTTTTGATAATAGAAATGTTAATAGTAAATATTTTCTGAAAGCGATTTCTGATAGCTCTGCTACAGAAGGACATGCTGAAATTGGAAGTTTCTATGAGTGATGTGATGCAAATAACAGTAGGAAGTGTCAATTTGTTATTTATGTAGTAGAAATAAAAGACAAAGATAAAAGTAGGAAATAAAAACAGAAAGAAACTCATTTCATAAAAGCAAACATTAATGTGTAGGATTCTAGTACATTTTATTTTTTGCTCTGCAAATAATGACTGCTACAGCTAAAAAAAAATAGATAAACTTGTAAGAGAAAAGGTCATTCACCAGAAGATTATTATTGCAATCTCCTGGAAAAAATTCAAGTCATACTCTTAAAGTCATTTGGGTGGAATTAGGGTCCTAAGTCATGTTTTTTTCTGAAGTTCTGTCAAATATGAAAAAAAAGAATCCTTAGTTTTAGCATTAACTTTGAACAGAAAAAAAAAAAAAAAAAAAAAAAAGAAGTTGAGAGACAACAGCATTCATTATAGTGAATTCATAGAAACTGGCAAAATATTCATGCAGGAAAAAACGTATTGGCAATTCTAACCTTCAGTGTGTCTCTGTTTGCTTCAGGTAGAAGGATAACCAAAAGATTCAAAGCTTGCAGCTGCTGTTTCTTCCTTGGAAGATCTGCCAGTGAAAGAAAAGAACTTCAGTATTTTAAAATTGTAATTAGTCCTTCTCAGAAAGCGTGATTTTAAAGTGGAAACCTCTTATAAAATGCTGAATGCATGCACATGGCTTGTTGTCATGGGGTGACAAAGGACTGGCAAATACTGCTTTTTCCATTTTCTTCCAAACACTCTTGTGTGATTCAGTTGCTGTATGATTCAGCTGTCTTTTGGCAGTATTTTTCAGAGACTTGTTTTCTATTTTGCAGTGTTAAAAGAGAAAACTAGCTGGCTAATGGTTCCTCCCTTTTTGAGCCTGTGCCTAAAATTTCAAGAGTATGTTCAAAGCCGCATTCACAGTTTCTCTGATTGCCTGAACAGTTACACTGTCTCCCAAGTCACTCCCGCAAGACACCAGCAACATGAGTAGCAACAGCTGGAGTGGCAAACCAGTGGGGACAAAGCCAACAGCAAAGAAGCTGAATACTTATCTACAGCAGGGAGTGTCATAGCAAACATAGCATGCCTCCTAAATCCTGGCAGTGCAGAACAGTGAAGAGCCCCAACTCTCTCAGGTTTGTCACTTGTGGTAAACTTCCTTCTGTCATACTTTAGGGGAAGTGCTCTGGAAAGCCTTCCCAGCAGATTCTTAATGAATCAGGCTATACATAAGCAAAGAAAGACCTGCATCTGACACAGTTTTATTACACCATTTCAAAGCTTAACCAGTCTGGTTTTGTGCATTCCAATGGGATTCCAACAGAACTGCTATTTCAGATATATTTTGTTCAAAACAATTTGGGAGATACAGAAAAAAAAAAGAAAAAAAAAGTTAATCCATGATATAAAAAACAGCTTGCTGACTACTTTCTACCATAGTTAAAGTAAACTATACAAATTAAAGGAATGGTAAATTATACAGTCTTTTAAAGCATGCAAACAGTGACAACAGTGTACTTGACTGCTATACTTGACATACATTAAAAGTAAGTAAGAACTCAATAGCAAAACAATTAAGATTTATTATTCAAATCAAGGTTTTCCATCTGTTCACCTAAATAATGTTCTACTTTTAGTTCTGTCAGTCACTTAAATTAACAAAATAAATTGTTTTAATTAAGTCATTTAAATATTTAAATAGTAAAAATTCTAACCTCACTATTTAAACACATTATCATGAAAAATACCATTTACTGTCACAAAGATGACCCTTTTTCTCTAATACCTAATCTCACTGTACACAACCAACACAATGGGCAGACAATTTAAACAACTGGAGTCTACAAAGTGTTACATCTGTTTTATATCAAATTATTTGGCTCCATGCATTTTGTATCCTATTATCTGAGTATTTTCTGGATAAGTAATACCACAAAAGGCTTGAAGACAGCTCAAAAGTGGCAAGCAGAAACCATCCATGCTCTGAACCTTATCTGTTAATTGGAACAACCTTGAGGAACTGTTAGCTGTCAGCATCATCTGAAAGTATTCTGGCCTGCTTTAACTTGCTGCTCAGTGCTGCAAAATCAATACCACTATGTAACAGGCTTAAGTTCCAGCCCCCTACTCACATCAATTGAAGGTCTGTGCACTTGAAAAGAACTCCTAACATGGAGAGTGGAAATACCCATAGTTTTGAAGAATAACTGCCTGTCTGCTTGACCATGGGAATTATCTGATAATGCACTCAGAAATAAGCTGTCATCACTGAGCTCATAAAAAGGCAGGAATAGTTTTTTCTGAAACCAACACCCCTGTGTTGATGTATGTGGACTCTCACTCCTGATTCACTGTCACCAAGCTGCTTTCTTTATGTTACAGCTTGCTGTCTTGGTGACCAGTTGTAAAAGAGGATGTTTTCACAGGAACTTGCTGATCTCAAGGGATTAGAGATGATTAGCAGTTTTGACAATTCTGTTGTAACTTTTCCTGTGGCAAATGGATAAAATAGACTCCATGTGCCATGCTAAACAGTATACATTACCATTTCTCGGATTTTGTGCAGAACTATTACATCTTTGCTGTTGTCTTCCTTTAAACAGAGATTATACACATATAATTTCTGTATAATACCCTTTTCACAAGGGTAGTGAAAGGACAAGGAGGAATGGTTTTAAACTGAAGGATGGAAGATTTAGATTATATGTCAGAGGGAAGTTTTTCTCTGAGAAAATGGTGAGGTGCTGCAACAGGTTGCCCAGAGAGGCTGTGTTCAAGGCCAGATTGGATGGGGCCCTGGGCAACCTGGTCTAGTGCATGATCTAGTGGTTGGCAAATTGTCTGTGGCAGGGGTGTTGGAACTTGATAATCCTTGAGGTCCCTTCTAATCCAAGCCATTCTATGATTCTATGAAACAAATATTATTCATAAACTGATACCACCTTACACAATTTTCTTTTAACTCCTCTATAATTCCTAAAGACCACTAAAAACATAACAAAAAGTGAGAATGTACTTTTATTTTACAAGTAAACTATTAAAGTAGATGTTCAATGAAAAGTATTACTTTGCTAATATTTATTAGCAAAGATACACAGTTTTTATCTGATTATAAGTAATATTTGTGATTTGTTTTCTTTCACATATTATTAGTGAAACCACTAGTATGGTAAAGAAACGATTCTCTGCACTGTATTATTTCTTTGCAAGCAAGATGGAAAGGACACTACTCACTCTGTACATCTTGGAAAGCTTTGAGATATTCTACAGTTAGGAGAGGTTGAGGCAGTTCACGGATGAAGAGTTTTAAAAGACTTGCTGCATCATGTTGTTTTACATTTTCCCAGTTGAAAGTCCCTTCATAAAATTTTGCTTCTAGTTCTTGGCAAAGGCTCTGCAAGGCAGTAGATACAGACAGCATCAGTAATACTTGCCTGCTAGAAGTCATACATTATACACACAGCAATGTTTTCCTTACTTTGAAAGGGGTAAAGAAAAAAAAAAAAAAAGAAACATCTGAAATATTGCTTAACTACATCTGCTGCTGATCTTTTGCTACAAATAGATTGAATTGAAGATCAGAAACACTGAAAACAAACAAGGTGATGGGCAGCAGACTGCCAAACATATAGGAAGAAATCCCATGGGTCTGCATCACAGACATCTGGAATAAGAACCAGATATCATATTCACTCGCATAAGAGTTACGGCCTCTCCTTCCCACAAAATATTAAGATGTTGCTGACATAATCAACTATCTTGAAACTACATACCAAAGGGTACTGTTTTTATGTATGTATAATCTTTTTCACAGACAAATACGACAATTACACACGCTGACAAACACCTTCCCATCAAAATAAACATTCAGGTGAGGCTGGTTCTCTACTTAAAGTACAGGGAAAAGTTTTGTTTGACTTGGTAGCTGGATATCTGGCAATCTGTAGGGAATATCATGCTGCTGAACAGGCACAGCTTTGCATACCACTGGATGTTACACATGCTTTCTATGGAAGAAGATTCTACTGCAAAACATATGGTTTGGCAACAGTGGCAGCAGAATAAACACTACTGAGTGATACCTCGTAAGTCTGACAGCAGACATCACTGTACATCCACCCTGCTCCTGAGAGTGCTATGACTGGCCTAGAGATGTAAGAACAGAAACACTCTGTAATGACTGAGTCAGTCTTAGTCGCCCTTAAGGAACAGCTCTCGCCCTGCACCTACTTCATTTGTTTGCCACTGGCAGAGTATCTCAGTTCCAGAAAGTGACCTTGCAGGCACCCCTCAACTTGCCTCTGCTTCTCGCCTAAGTTCTTCCAAACAGAAAATGAGCACAAGGACACTTGAATGTTTTGCAAAGTATGTAAGACAAAGTGAGGGAAAGTGCTAAGGAAAAATATAGTCTTAATTATTTATCGAGACAAGAAGGGCACACTGGATATAGAATAATAGCTAATTTTTAGGATACTGTTCTCACTGAATTTAACTTTATCCAAATGGAAAATCGCTCTATTTGCAAAGAAAATGTGAACACTCAGGTTGATATAAAAATTGGATGCTCTTAACTGTCCTCCAGAGAGATCTTCTGTCTCCATAGATTGTGTACAAGGGTCAGTGGTGCTAAGATACAAACTCACATGTCTAAAGTCAGGTGGGTATCATTTTCTTCCCATCAAAAACAAAACCAGGCTTTAGAAATAGATGAAAATGTTCCTGCTGAGATTCACCACCTCCTACATCCAAATTCAGACTAATTCAGCATAGTTAATGCAGTATTAAAAAAAACTAGATAAAATGAATTGTTTTATCTGAAGGGCAAGAGCAGAAATGTCAACTACACATCCTAATGGACCTACACTTAGGTTTTAAAGCAAACATATTTAACTATGGGATATCATAAATATGCAATACATTATCTTAACTATAACTATGAAAATAATATTAAAATAAGATAGCAAAATATTTTTTTCCAATTATCTGTACCATTTTATAATGCTACATAAGAAGGATTTTTTTCATTTTTCAATAGGAGAAAAAAAGTTTAGGGAAATTAGAGATAATATAGGTCCTTCAGTGTGCTGAGTTATTTGTTTTCCTATAAAGGTTTCCATTTAAATAAGTAAAAGAATGCAACATTTTTTTCTAACAAAACAATTACTTAATTCAAAGAAGCAGTTTCTGCAAATAAATAGGCAAAAATTTAATGAAGGACAAATAGTTAATGATCTTCTTCCTAGGAAATTGTATTAACTTTATAAAGATTAAGGAATAAACAAACAAAATCATCTCAAAGTAATTCCATTAGGCAGAACTGATGTAGAGTGTAAAAGAAAGAATGAAGGAAATATATTTTAAAAAAATCTTAGTTACTGGTAAATAAACAAAGCCAGTTTCCATAATATTCCCTTCCTTCAGTTTCTAGTGAACCAGCTGCTGGACAAAGTTTGACATGATAGAGGCTGGCAAGCGTCTTTGGACAGCTGAATCCACTTAAGTTATCTTTTAGTATTTAAGGCCAGTTCAGACCATCTTTTTAACACATGGACTCTTGGCATGAATCATACTGTGTATTTAGTTTCCTGCACTAAGGAAAACACTGGGGAAGATTCTGTGTGTAATTGGCACCCACTCTGTGAAGTGTCACTGTGTGTGAACGGATGTGCTTAACAAGGATGTGTTCAGAGAGCTAAGAAGTTAGTTTGCTGTTCATAAAAAAAAATCTGAAAGGTTCTTCAGCACATGCTGCCTGCCTTGCTTTGTAATGTAGGTTAAGTCTAGCTATTAAAGCAAGCTCACAATGCCAGAAAAAAAACTTCCTCCTGGGGTACAAGACTGTGTATAAACTGTTCAGATGATTAAGCTGGTTCAGGGAAAAAAGCAAGAGGCTAGAAAGCTTGTGCCAAGAATTAATGAGATTTTGGCACAACTCAATTTGAAACATAGCTTTGACTCTGCTTCCAACTTGAACTTTCCCCAGAACTACACTGGATCAAGCCATCAGCCTCCTGGCTAATATAACTCATTTTTCTTTCTGAAAAGACTTTTCTTTCTGTTTTTGAAGATTTTAATAACAACCTGGCCTCAAAATATATTTCTATAACAAAATAAAATCAGGGAGATCAAATAAGCTTTTAGGGGTGCTAAAAATCTACATAACGTTTTACCTTTACTCTTGTTGCAACTCCTGGTATTCTAAGAAGTCCTTCTGTTTCCAGAGTTGCCTCTTCTATCTGGGAAATCAACTGTCAAACACAAACCAAACTGGATAAATTAAGATGTCAATTAAAAATTACTGATAGATGGTTACAATATATTGGAGCCTTTATGTATGTACATGTGTGGTACAAATATACAACATATGAGTACACAAATGCACAGTTTAGAAATGGATTAGAGTTGTTGTAGATGTAGAATAAAATCTTTAATATGGCTCTTGCCCTTTCTATGAACACTTCTAAAGAGTTTATCTCTTTTACTAAAAATAAGACCATCTATAGACCTCCTTCTGATGCTAAAGTAGTTATCTCACAAATACTCTTCTTTTCAACTTCACCAGAAGACATCCATGTACTTTTACTTAGTACTAAGATCTACTGGAATGCACCAGTAATAATTCACAGTTCTTATAAATTGTAGACTAGTTGCAACAAAAAAAACAAACTATTAATTTACCTCAAAATATGTGTGATACGAAGCAAAGTATCAAGTTTACTAAATTCATAGAATCAAAGAATCATTAAGGTTGGGAAAAACCTCTAGTATCATCTAGTCCAACTGTCCAGTTATCATCAATATTGCCCAGTAAACCACATTCCCTAGTAGATACATCTAATAAATTAATAAGTAAATAAATTAATAAGTAATAAATTAGTAAATAAAGCTGCAAATAAAAGTTACTGTAACTTTGACTAGAGTAATATATTGTAAGCTTTGCCACAGAGAGAAAATAAATTCAGGACAAAAAATTCAGTCATTTGCAGGTATGGAATAAGTTGACTTGCTTTTGCATATTTACCTTTTGAAAAATCAGTGGGATCTTGGTGCCTGGCACCTTCTTCTGATCCTGTTCCAGTAAAACTGACAGTGGGACACCAAACAAGCCACAGTCTGAAGAATAAAGCAAAATAAACTGAGATATCTTTATCTGTTCCTACACATGCAATGATGGCATAAAACCATACTTTAGAAACAGTTAAGCTTATTCAATACATTCATAGTGTTTGTTCAAAGTCTTTGAATGTTTTCATTGATTTATTACTAAAAGCATTTTGGCTAAAGTGACTAATTCATCTCTTCCTTCAGTCATACATCAGGACTCTTCTGTTTTGACTTCTGTCATCTGCATGTTCTGCAGTATAGCAAGGCAAATTGTGTAAATGAACCACTTGCATGGTTCTGGTTTATAGAGTGATTCTGATGATGACCATGGAATGCATATCTTCATGCATTCAGTGTAAGATAAAATAGACAAGATGCAAAAGACATGAGTAAAATATCCAGAAATTTGGCAACACAAACAAAACAGATGTAATTATCATCCAGAGTTACTCTCAACATCTCTCTATAAGAGTTTTGAAAAAAGACATTTTCAACCCTTCATGTGGCTTTGCATTATACAAAACCATCATGATAGAATGATTAGCACCTTTCCAAAGTTGGTCTTCGTTTTGTTGTTGCTTTCTTTTTTCCAAAAGAAGCAAAATTATCATTAAGTCTGGGTTGGAAAATAGTCTTTAAAAGGTGCTTTGGTTGCACAAATAAAAAATAAAATATCATTTAGTCTCTCATTAATGTATTCTTCATGCAAAATAATATTAGTCTTGAAGTAGACAGGACAACCCATTTGTTTTATGGCCCATGTGAATAGAATGACTTCTGAAAGCTATACTAGCCAATACTAACCCAAAGCCTGTTGCCAAAGAATTTTTCAGCAAAAAGTACAGATAACTGCTGCATGTGCAATTTTTGTGAAGCAGCATACAGTCCTACATGAAGCCTAAAAGCTGCTCATGCTAGTAACAAGCACAGAGCAGCAGCTGTAATTACTAAAAAGATGACAGCTCTTGGAGAAGTGCTATATATATCAAAGAAACATCATTTGAAGCACCACATCAAGGAGTTCTTCTCTATCAGAGTAAAAGGTCTACCATTAAAATACGTAGACTCATATATACATCCAATAGCTATACTCCATAGTTATATCATCTTGAGGATCTTATCAATAATGAAAGTTTCTACTGAGATGAAATTGAAGAAACAAAATTGTAGGGGGGCAATAAAAAGGCAGCAGCACAGCACTGCACAGAAGAATCACATTTTCATCATCTTTAAGTACTCAAACACAAAGAAGAACAGCCAGCAGATCCTCAACTGTATCAATCATTTAGGCAAACAACAGTTCCTGAGTGAAGAGGAGGGGATCAGGTAGAGCAACAAGGCACTGAAATAATTAATTACACCAAAGAGCAGATATATAAGCAAGGAAATCTGACATGTCATTGTCTTTATCCTACACATTTTTATGTGTCTAGCCCATCTCTTTTAATCTCACGAAAAATAAGGCTTTTAATCAACGCAATACTCTTCACAACTGCTTGTCATTTAGACAAAGTTTTTTAGGCAATGTACTCAACAGTAAGATTTGCTAAGAAGGATCAATTAAAACTAAGACCCAAAATACAAGACAGTGTTTGTCTCTTTCTGTGTATTAATCACAAGCACTTCTACAAGAAGAAAATACATTTAGAGGATCAAGGTCTCACATGTTTCTGTTTATGACATTTGCTCTTTTCTACTACCAGAAAGCCAAGACTGTAGTCTGAAGAATATATCATACCTTGCTACATATATCTCAAGAGTCTGTTGCCTTCAATTATTTAAAGTGAGCTATTGTACTGTCATACTAACTGAACCTTGAGAACAGGGTTTTGGCCAAAGCAAGTTTGTGATTAACTGGTAACACATTTCAAGCTCTTGTAAAACATTTAGCAGAAGCCAGAAATACAGAAAGCAAACAAAGCACTGAAAACCTCTAGCATCTTGAAATTAGTTTTCATGCATCCTAAGTCCCCAAGAAAAGCACTGTGATAATATATACGTATATACTCCATTGGCTTGTAGAGCAAAACAGTATGTTGCAACTGTCTCAAAATCCTTTGCAAACGCACAGATCATTCACTTTGTATGTTGCATTGTGACTTTAGGAAATACCAAATGGGCATAGGTATGTGACCCAGGAAAGTCTGTGCCAGACATAACAGGAAAGCAGGTGACAAGGGTTGCCAGCATCTTCAACCAAGATCAAGAAAAGCAAAAAGTCAGGAAGGACTTGCACAGTACCTGCCTTCATGAGGGCAGGAATGACAAAAAGCACATACATCTGTCCTCACAGGGAATATACAATCTCATAGAAACTTTTGTGCAGCCATTCCTGTACAATATGCTAGTAAGGGGAAGGTTCCCCCTCCTCACGCCTTGGTTATCTGCTTATTTCCAGCCAGAGTTTTAACTTCATACAGACAGCACAGTCTCTAGAGTGACTATGTGCATGAACTTGCCTAAAATGTGCCCTGAGTTAAGATGCATAATTAAATGCTGCTCAGTATCTGTTACTATTTATCAATTAAATACAAATTTTATGCTAGAAAATCATAAATAACCAGACACATTTGTTTCATTAGATTAAAACCTATTTGTTTCAGTGTATGAAACAATAACTCACCTTTGGTTTTGATTTTTGCAGCTTTTTGTTGCTTGAATTCTGTCCCAAGTACGTCATAGAGAGCAGTCAATTCAATCAGTGCTAAGGAATAGACTTTCTTCATGTCCTGAGGGGCCAGGTCACCAATCTTTGTGGTTCCTGTTTTGTCCTTTGGCAGTCTAAAATTCTAAAGGCAGAGATTTGTAGCGTAACAACAATTCAAGTCATAACAAATCACTTTGCTCGAAGGCTTCAGAGCACAACCTTTCATCATGAAGCCTGCTGCTACTAATGGAAACATGGAGGAATCCCCTGAATAGTTTTCAAAGCAGACAAGCTTTGAATCAAAGGAGGGTTTATGTTGCTAGTAACTTCTGGAGGTCATCTAATCCAACTGCACACTCAAAGCAAGGCTAAATTCAAAATATGATCAGCTTGCTCCAATTACTGTCCAAATGAATTTTGAAATCCTTCAAGAAGAAAAATTCCACAACCTCTGAGAGCAACCGCTTTGGTGCTTAACATGCTCATGGAGAGTTGTTTTCTTTACAAAATGGGATTTTCCTTGTTATCACTTGTATCCATTGCCTCATGCTCTTTCACAGTGCATTTCCAGTCTGGCTTTGTCTTGTCATAATTTACACCGGTTTCCACAGTTGCCCATCAACAACCCTATGCATGTACAATTGGCATAGAAATCCCCCTGCACTCATTCAATCAAAATGACATATTTGACTATCATAAAAATAAGAATAAAAGGCTTTCCTTCTTACCGAAGGGGGAACCATAATTATGGATCAGGTATATTGAAATAACTTTTGTACACTCAGAAGCTGCAGTCGGAGATGAATATAAAGAAATGTGTTCAGATGGACAGGGAGACATTCCTAATCCACAGAGTTTTTTAACACCATCTTTCATCAGCAGGCTTCCAAGTTATACTATTTCCCGTGCCTGATATTAGTAGCATACATGACTCAAAGCAGGAAGGCTGACAAGATTTCCTCTCCATTTGGAAAGAACAAATATACTCCAGAATGATTTTCTCATCCTTTACAGACGCAGCGATAGCACATCTGATTTGATTTGGTGGCTATGGTGTGTGGCGACAAAGTGTACGTAAATACAATTTACAAAATGTAGATATGTAGTCAGTTCTGTCCTGCCTTGAGGTTTCATTGACTTTCACAATCATAAATGTTTAAAAATAGCTGCCAATGATGAAGGTGCAACAAATTAAACTGTAGCTTTTTAAATAGGTAACTCCCTTCCTTTTCTATCATTTTTGCCACTATTCCAGCTTAACATTACTAGTCCATTGTTTCAAACACATAAAGTGAGTTCTGCTAGAATGACAAGGACATACATAATGGTATAAAATAGTAATTTCCATTTTACTGAGAATACTATTCACAAAAATCTTGAGGTTTATCTCCATAAAGCTAGATCAAACAATATTCTTTTAAACCTAATTCACCCAATGTCAGATAAATATCATTCAAACAGTACTACTCACCAGTGAAAACAATGAGCAATAAATAGGAAACATACCGTGCGAAGAGTATCGCCCGCTCCATCCTTATAGATTTTGCCTACTGAGTTGTCTTTGAGATTAGCTGCCTGTTCTGCAAACGGTATCTCCAAATTAATGTCAGTCTCTGAAAATGGCATGTCTTCAAGTGGGCTCTTCTGCTCATTAGTTCCAAGACTGAACTTTAGATCTGAAAACAGAGTAGAAAAAATAACAGTCAACAGCAGCAGAGTTGAGCATCACTCAACATATGAGAGTAAGATAGAAATTAGTCCTATGGAAGAGATCAACATCTAGCTGCAAATGCATTTATTCCTGCATTTTTTCTGCCAGTTGGAGCATGGAGATGGAGCTCTGTAAGAAAAGCTCTATAGATTTTCTAGAATAATTCTGCCAAGGCATGTGACCTTTCTATTATGAAAAAATAAAGGAATCCACTTCAAAGAAACGGCAGATCTTCCAGGGCCAAATAGCTTTGGCATCAGAATTTTTTTGCCATGGAACACTTTCCAGACACATAGACCGCAACACCTTGTAAGCAAAACAGCAACTTTTTCTTCTTTTGTATTAATTTCAGAAGCAAAGCACAAAGTTCATTCTACAACCCAAAACATTAACATCACAGAATCACAAAATGTTTGAGGTTGGCAGGGACCTCTGTGTCTATTTGGTCCAACTCCCATTCGAGCTGGGACACTCATGCGGCAGTGCTTGGTCACATGCACCATAAAGAAGTGCTTCCTAATGTTCACAGGAAACCTCCTCTGTTGCAATTCATGCCCACTGCCTCTTGTCTGTGCACTGAGAACTACTGAAAAGAGCATGGTCTTACCAGTGATGAGTAAAGGGAAAGGATTCTCTCTTGAACTCCTGGCAATGCTCCTCCTAATGCAGCCCAGGATACCATTGGCCTTCTTTACCACAAGAGCCTATTACTGGCTCATGTTTAATTTGTTGTCCACCAGAATCACCTTTATGCATATGCTTTCAGCTGGGCAGTAGCCAGCATGTGCTGATGCATGGGGATGTTCCTCCCAAGTTGCAAGACTCTGCACTTTCCCCTCATCTCTCCAGTACATTAAGGTCCTCTGCAGGGCAGCATGTCCCTCTGGCACATCAGCCACTCTCTCCAATCTTGTGTCATCTGCAGATTTGCTGAATGTACACTCTTCTCATCATCCAGACTATTAATGAAGATATTACACACGACTGGATACAGTACTGACACCTGGAGTACACTGGTAGTGACTGACCTCCCAACAGGTTTCATGCTTTATATCATCTCTTCTGAAATCAGGCAGTTTCCAATCCATGTCAATATCTGCTCACCCATCTCATGCATCTGCAAATAATATCTGGGAATAATGGAGGCTACACAGACATTCCTTTCCTCATGTCTAGTCTAAATTCATCAAAACTGCCAAGACATGCTTCCATGATACTGGGAAGGACTAAATACAGAATAACCACGTTACTTCTCTTTCTTTGTTCCTTATGCCTCAGTTGAACACTAGACAAATTTGGAATAATTTTTGCTTAAAACAAAACAAAAAAAGGGGAAGAAAACAGAGAGGCAGTTCTGATTTTAGAGAAAGAAGTCTACTTCTACTACTACTGAACTTCAGTCTGAATTTTAAAAATATCAAGAAAGAAGCAAGAGGAAAACTATACTGCAATACAAAGCACCTAAATAATTTAGCCAGAGAAAAATTTCAATCTCTCCAGCATCACTTGTGATGTAAAGCTTCTCAAAGGTCACCAGGGTGACCTTTGCCAGGGTGAAGTTCCTCCTACAAGGCACTGAAGTACTTGTGTTTAATTTCAAACTTTCCTAAAACCAGAGCAAGTGGAAGCAAATTAATACTGCTCAGTTCAATGAGACCACGCTTCTGACACTGGCTCCTACCCACAAGGTTCTGTTTCCTGTTCAAATATAACATACAACAAGTGCAAAAAGAGAGGGAAGGAAACATACATGAGCTGAGGAGAACTATCAGCAGTGCATATGCTCTCGTATATGAAAAAAGTATAACTAACAGATTTCTTTATGCTACTGTGGGAAATTTTTGTATGGCCTAGAATAATCATGGTCTAAGCAAACATAGAAAATCTCCAGAGAATATTTACAGCTACAGCAACATCTGACGTGAAGCAGCGGAAAGGCTGTGGCTAGGCTGATTTAGAGAGAAGGCAATGGGGAAGTGTTGCTCTAAACTGATATTTTCAGTGGCCTGCTAAAAAGCTGAGTTGCAATCATGCAACCCAAGCAACACATGAAGTATCAAGTTTAGAAAGAACATATAACAACTTTTTTCTGAATCATATCTGCATTTAATTGAAAGATGATATATAAGACTTGTCACTGCTATGCTTTAGAGTGCTAGGGCCAAACTCAGCAGACAGGCAAATGGGTGAAGCCACCAATAGCCACTACCTGGTAGGACACAGTATTTAATGCAACCATTCCCACTTCATTTTCACTGATCTACAGCTGAGACAGTTGCAGAAAAAGCAGTTGAACTTGAGTTAAAATGTTTGACTCTACTTACAGCCAAACAATGCTCTGAGAAGTAGAATAAAACATTTCCAGATTTTACTGGTTGTATATTTCCAGATTCTCTTTTCAGAGTGGCATCTACTTACTTTTGATGGACTCTGAAAGACTCCTGAGGCATATGCTAAAGATTAAGCTGATTGTGAAACTAGAGCTACTGCTTTCAGTAAATAGACATATGAGACCTCAGTACCAAACATATCCAAGGTCAAATTCTTCCCTGTCTTCAATCTCTGGCCTCTATGTGCATATGCCTACATACACCATGTAAATTGTTTAATGCATTCAAACAGAAGGAAAATTTTCCCTGTCCACCCAAGACTTTTGTCATGCTAATGTAGCCTAAATGTGACCTACATACTTCCTATCAGCATGAGACAGATCTGATGATCTGACATTAACAAACAATAAAGCAGTAGTTCTTATTTCAGTCCTCAGGTACCAAGGTTCACTTCAAAGCAGATGCCTTGGTAACAGTGTACACATTTTAAAAAAGTCTGAGACTGCTGCTGCTGTAGGGAATTTCTTATTGATTGTATTGTATTGTTTCTATTGTGCACTTATTAACTAAGAAGCAGCTGTAGGAGGAAGCAGCTTCAGAATTCTGTCAAGCTGCCAACTGCGTGTAGTTGAAGAAACGCAAGTGTGATACAGAAAATGTAAATATTGTCTATGAGAATGTGGTGAATATTTTAAATCACACTGCATCCTTTCTTTGGTTCACAGTGCTCTTTAAACACCACATAAAATTATGGGAATTCTTCAGGAATAGGATGGAGTGTTGGAATTTCTTTTTATTAAGATGTGAAAAAATCAGAAGTGTCAACTTTGCTATTTCCTTATTTTGACAGACAATCTAAAGTATATCACAATAGTGCTATACTTTTAAATCCTAATTGATAATTGGAATGGCTGATTATTTTTTTTTAACTGACAAAACATTTATCTATAATATTAATTCATAGCTGACTTTTAATAGAAAGTTCTAAAAGCTCACAGTCTTTTCACTAAATCTCTAGCACTCCAGCCATAAAATCCTTATTAATACACAAAATGAAAAGCAGAAGCAAATTCAATTAAAAAATAAAACTACATTTCAGTCTTTTTTTCCTACCAAGAAATAGGTTCTATTCCTCCATGTTACATGAAATACATTCAGTTCTTTCATTCATTTACCAGATCATCATGCTTTGAGGTTGCCTTTATATAGAGGTTTTACTTACTTCCCTTGCAGCTAACTCAGTGCATGGGACAACCAGAGTCCCACAGTAAACTGACTTTTGCTGATCCCATGGTAAAGTTAAAGCAGATGAGTAGCTAAATACTCATTATTCTTTTATTATTATTTCTTGAGATGTTTCAATGACATGGATATCTATTAATTTTCACAGGCATCCAAAGAGAATTACTTTTCTACTTTGGTAATCATTGAACATATTGCTAGCTTTGAGAGATTTCAGTGATGGTTATGGATTATTAAAATGAAAATGCATATATTACTCCAAATTTTCTTTTTCTTTCTTGTAGACACTTTCTGTACCTACATGAAACAGATAAACACTTAAAGCCAGCAAGAATGGGTCCTTTCAAAAAACTGAACTGTGCTTCTATTAATAGAAGAAAATTAGGAACTTACTAAACTGCTTTGTTTGATCAGGCAGAAAAGAATGAAAACGTATTGGTTTCGTGTTACTCCCTGAGTTTGCATACAATGCTCAGGCAAGAAACAAGGTGTGCTGAACAGGAAAGAATGGAGGAAATAGAACAGGTTCACACAGCCCATTTGTGTTCAGTCTGGCAGAAGCACTTGAAAATGCTGCATTCAAATACCAAGTTAGGAACAGTCATCCTCTTTGGAGAAGGACAAAAGGGATTCATTCACTCAAACAGTTTGAAGAAATCCAACATGTCAATTTAAGATCTGGATTTTTTTTTTTTAATAATGGTTGAGATGGTATGCATATTTTTCAGTTAGAACTGGTACAACTTCTTTGTTAAAGGGGGTTTCCATTTTAAAATAATGCCTTTGGATTTCATAAATATTTAGTATCTCTGAAACACCAAGCACTGTTTACTTCTTGCCTTAAAATCATTCACTGTTTGTATAACACTAATTAGCCCATCATTCAGGAGGAAAGATCACAGTACAGAACTGAAACAGGTGCAGTGCTTTTAACACTGCTGAACTTGGATGGTTTTTCCTTCCTGCTCTGATCCCGGGAGCAGGGCCCACTTCAGCACACTGACAAGAGCAGAAGTGTATGAGAATGTAAGCAGGCTGCATTTGCCATCCACATCACAATCTGTGCTGTGGAGAGCTAGCATATGGAAGTTGCTTTTCAGAATTTCCTATTTCTGAAGGGTTCATCAGGGCCACTGGAAAAAAAGAACCAGATGTGATAAAAACTCTGTAATAATTGCTTGGTAATTTTCCAACCCTGAATCCTACAGAGCAGTTTATTGACACAAGCACCAGGCATCTCTTCCTTCCCTTCTGCTGAACCAGCAGCCTGGCAGTCTTCCCAGTTTTTATACTGTTCTTATTCCAGTGAGGTTTGCTGAGAGTGAGAGAGGGAAGAATTAACAACACTTCTGGAAACGCACAGTTTTAGTGATATTAAGGGCTGTTCTATATTCACCTCTCCCAGTTCAGCTTCCAAGCACATCCTGTATTGTTTGTTGCTGTTTCTCAAGTCTAATCCTTTTTTTTTTTTTTTTTTGGAGAAATTCATTTCATGGCTTAATTACAGATAACTTGCAGTAGGAAACTTGATCTACTTTCCTGAGTGTTTAAGGAAACTGTAGGGTCCAGTTGACTCCTATATGCTATCAGTCACCCAGAAAGAAAAAAAAAAAATACACAAACAGAAACAATACAGAAAAGCAATGCAGTATCTTGAAGTTTAAATGGCTGCCAGATAATATGTTGATCTTGACAGGTATGATGGTATGGCACATACAGTGCTTCCCTCATCTCTAAGAATGTAAGATGACAATATTTTATTACTGTCACTCAAGAACATCAGAAACATTGTCAAAGTCATCCACCAAAATTCAGACTCTCAAACCAGAAACTTTGGGTTCGTCCAAGGACTTCTGTTTTCCTCTGTTCTACATGGCTGGGAGAGGGCAGGAGAAGTTCTGCAGGTCTTCCACATGTATTGCACCCTTTTTGCATAATCACACACTACTGAACACAGCTGAGTCCTACATGCACAGAACGCTAATTTCTTCCCATTTTCCTTGTAAAAGTAAACAACCTTTTCTTCCAGATTTGTTTTTCTTTCATTATGAGCTGCAGACATACAGCCTGTGTTGTATGTTTATAGTTCATTTGTTTTCGTTCTCTTATAAGCTCATCAGTGCATATGTATACTGCTTAATTTCCTACACTTTACAGCAGAGATAAACCAGAATGGATAAATTAAGGATCAGGAAAGACCTTAGCATAACCTTTGAGAAGAGACTTCTCCCAGCTGACTTGATTACAAGATGATCACAAGCAAGGTTCCCCAGATGGCTCAAAGGATACAACCTACAGCCACTTTACAACATGTGAACTTTACAACATGTGCACAACACAGGCCAGAATATGTTTTCCCATGAGAATTTCACTTTATTTTGCCAAAAAGTTATTTGAAATACTAATTTCTGAAGTAGATTGCAAAACAGAAAGCCTACAAACAAGAAAAAAGATCTGTCTAGCATTACCTTTTGTTTCATCCTGCATTTCATTTTTGCTTTCAGTTGTTCTTACAGCTGAGGGTTCACTTCTATCACAGACCTAAGAAAGGAACAATAAATACAATGTAGAAGCACACCTACATATTTCAGTCAAAATTCTTTTGCCAAAGACTAAGGAGATCTGAAATCTAAGTAATTAAGAAAGAGGTAATCCTCCTCTTCCTAAAAAGATACATGACTTATTTTTCCAATTTTGTAAGGAATAAGAAATGTAGTCTTTCTACATTTCTGTGGTGCAGCACAACCCACTCCCAACATTCCTCACACTCTATAAATTGTATTACACCTATCATAGAAACAATATTTCTGAACATATAGAAAATCTACATCACTACATACATATATGGGTACACATACATCCACTTATTATTTTTACCTCTATATAATTTTTATGACCTTTTTTGCAACTTAGATCAACAACAAATGTCTAGCACTCTGGATTTTTTCTGATATCTAATCAGCACTGTTTAAGTCCTCATTTGCTGATAACATAAATAAGAGTTTTAAAGTTTTCTCCTACCAAAACAAACTTTTATACACATTTTTTTTTAAATCAGAAATCTTGAGTGATAAAAGGAAGCATGAATTCCTGGATAGGCTGGATCAATGAGCCAAGGTTGGGTCCTGCATTTTACAAAAACCCCAGGCAACCCTACAGGCTTGAGGAGGAGTGGCTGGAAAGCTGCCTAATGGAAAGAGACCTTGGTATACTGATGGACAGTCAGCTGAATATGAGCCAGCAGTGTGCCCAGGTGACATCCTGGCTTGTATCAGGAATGGAGTCGTGAGCAGAACTAGGGAAGTAATCCTGCCCCTGTACTTGGCATTGGTGAGGCCTCACTTAGAGTACTGTGTTCAGTTCTGGGCACATGAGTACAGAAAGGACATTGAGGTGCTGGAGCAGGTCCAAAGAAGGGCAACAAGGCTTGTGAAGGGCTTGGAGAACATGCTCTGTGAGGAGAGACTGAAGGAACTGGGGCTGTTCAGTCTGGGGAAAAGGAGGCTGAGAGGAGACCTTATTGCTCTCTTCCAGTATCTGAAAGGTGCTTACAGCGAGAGTGGGGTTGGTCATTGGTGACAGGACAAGGGGAAATGGCCTGAAGTTGCACCAGGGTAAGTTTAAGTTGGATATTAGGAAACCCTTTACAGAAAGGGTTGCTAAGCACTGGAATAGGCTCCCCAGGGAGGTGGTTGAGTCACCATCCCTGAATGTGTTTAAAAACCGTTTGGATGTGGTGCTCAGGGACATGATTTAGCAGAGGGTTGTTAGAGTTAGGGTAGTATGGTTAGGTTGTGGTTGGACTTGATCTTTAAGGTCTTTTAAAACCTGAGTGATTCTACAATTCTATGATTCTTAGAAAATTATTAACGTTCCATGGATCAGTAGCAGCACACTGGGAAATGCACAGATAAGCAGACTTCCAACCTGTCAGAAAAGTCTAGCTTCTCTTTGGCAGAAATATAGCAGGAAACTTAACAGAAACATTACAACACTATTCTATTCACTAGTCTATTGTTTTACTTTTCCTCCTGCTTGCCCTCAGATGAAGGGAGATTACAAGACTTTCAGATACTATTACTGAACTGGGATGACCTCATACAGCTGCAGATAGTTTCAGTCCTCTTTTGTTATATAAAAGCTTTCTAATGATGGGGGTGTATTAAAGTTACCTAGGAAGTTGTGCAAATTACCTCATGACAGGCTTTCTGTGACTAATTTGATAAATAAACCCAAGCAATGACATCAGAATTATCTTGCTTTGGAGAAAGGTATGCAGAATAGGTTTAAGGGCCTACATTTACATTATTTTATTTCAGTCAAAGAGACATTTAGGAGAAACTTTTTTTTTTTTAAATAATTCTATATATAATCAATATCTTGTTACATACATCTCACATGGCTACATTCATCTGTCTGCTTGCATTATTCCTCTTTGATATTATCAGCATCAAAACATGCAGTTTAAAAGAAATCTACAGAACACTGCAACATATTATTTTCAGACATTACAATGTGTAGTTTAAACAGGAACATGAATATTTCTTGTACTTCACCAAAATAACAAACGCACTTGAAAAGGAAATCACATAGCCTTAGGTTACATGATATTTACCTACTATTCAATCTTGTAATTTTTAGGGGTAGTCAATCCCAAACCAAATCCCAGAAATCTTTTATGAAGTTAGTATTTCTTCTGTAACCACATACAAAGCAGAACAGTGAATGGGAAGTTCTGCCTCCAGAACATACATTTGAGTTTACAAATATCCCCCACTCTGTTTCACCTTCGCTGAAGATGAAAGAAGCTGCACAGGGAGAAGAAGCAGTTAGGACAGGGAGGAAATAAACTCCTCTCAAAATCCACCACGCTAATGCTGTGATGGCTGCATAGCAACTGCAGGAGTGACAACCAAAGATGGGGCTGGGATTTGGTAAGCTAGTGGTGTACTGCCATCCAGCTAGCACCTCCTTCCAGCTGAAATCCTGCTTCCTTTTGGAGGAAGAAAAAGGATATACTTCTCTGCAGAAGAGGAACTCTAATTACAGTCCTGTTTTCCTCCTTCCCCTTTCCTGCATGTGGGAGAGGAGCTTTCCTGCTCAACAACCCACAAGGGAAAACAGGAACCTTTCAGAACCCAAAAGAACAACTCGCCACACACTTTTAATAATGTTCAGGGGACCTAGAAGTCAGGTCTAGATCCCAGCTGACAAACATTAACACCTAGCCAGAAAAAAAAAAAAAAGAAAAAGAAAAAGAAAAGGTTAGGTTGATGTTCCTTATTTCCCCTTTTTAAAGGAAAAAAAAAGTATCCTAGTAACATGTATTGTTCCCTATATGGCAGACCTCTCATAATGACTGCAAGTTCTACCACTTAGAAAGTGTGCTTTTGGTTGCTCTTTGGGTGTTTGTTGTTATGACTTTCATGCTTGGGTTAAAATTAAATCCAATCAGTTTCTAATCATTGAGTGACTGTTTTATTCATCCCCTTGGAGTAACATGAGGCCAGCATACATACTGCATTCTACAAACTAAAATTGCTTAACCAAAGTGAAGTCTGGACAAATGCTACTCCTATAAATGCTTAAGAATTTCCCTTGGAAATCAGTAAAATCTTCTAAAAATAGCTCTTATGCATTTGTGCTGCTCTCTCCTCTCCTCCCACTCCTATCTGTCCCTCTCTCCTCTCTGTCATCATCAAAGAAAATGACAACCAGGAACTTACCTTTCCCTTTGGGTCACTTTGTGGCCTGAAGATATCTCTGACATCAGGAATCTGGTGGTGTTTGTTCTTTTTCCTCAAGGTCTGTGTGACAGTCTCTACTCGTTTTTCTACTGCTGCCTTCTGTGTTCGGGTCAGTGTGGACAGGAACACCATGCTTTCTTGGGAATCACCTGTGCTCTCAGCAAACAGGTTGGACAGACCTGCCTCCTTCAGCCATTCTTCTTCCAGTTCTCCCTCTGAGTCAGGCAAAGAAAAAAGGGCATAAATACTGGTTTTCCAGTACTGTTAAACACACTGGTCTACAAGGACATGATATAGCTAGTACAGTTCACAGGGAGAAAAAAAACATGGAGATCCAAAATAAAGAGCAATTCTTTGCACTTATCACCATGACTTAGAAAAAAAGTTGTTTCTGAAGTGCTTCAAAAGGGATAACATATCAAATTAAAGCTTTTAAAATAGCTAACCCAAAAGAGATCACTAGGGTGGGACAATCTTTATCATAATTGACAGCACTTTCATTAAACAACACTCTATTTTGTAAATGTTACCTAGATTCAAATGTGTATGAGAAAGTCTGAAAGCCTCTGATCACTGCTGCTTCACTGACTTATAGCTCAGTCCTCAATCTTTTTAACTCCCTTAATGACATGTTTCTGCCCAGCTTTCTTTATACATTAATCCTATAGCCTCCCATTAGCTCAAATTATTGAAGGCCAAGCCAGGCTACAGGAGTCACCTTAATGCTAATTTTTAACCAGTTCTTCTGACGTGGTTTCCAGACTGCTGACAGCTCATAAAATAATTGTTGCTTTAGTCTTACAGCTGGTAAGATATCCCTTATTGACAAATTGTTACAGATGAAAGAGGAGAAAGCTACTAAGTGGTACCACCAACAGTAAAACTTCTGCTTCTGAAATCAGTTATCCCCCTAATGATAATTTCTTCTGAACGCTGACACTAAGTTCTATCTGTAAGAATTTAGCTTGAACTGCTAGATTGTTACACAAACCTATCTCAAACTTTCAAGCAACATTTCAATGCTTCAGATGCCCAAAAATGCTCCTGAGTGGCAAGTCAACTTTACTATTGCCTGCAGTTTCCCTTAGTGCCCAATGCACAACCAAACGGGCATCTGAATTTTAATAGTACTCAGCAAATAGATACATTTTAAATATGAATTTTGCTGCAGCCGTGTAGCCAAATACAGAGTCTGACAAAATTCTTGTACATTTTGGCATTGAGCTAGAAAGGAGGTCTATGTCTATTCTCCAAAGCATACCCTATCCTCCTCGTGCCTTGCATTTGTATGGCTGCATCTCAAGCAAGCCCACTGCCCAGGCAGCCTGCAGAAAAGTAGTAATGTCCCACATGTTCAGGAGCACTCATTCAAGTGAGGTGGTGCTGCACATAATGCAAGATACGGGGCACAGCAATAGCTGGTTGAGCTCATCAGCTCAGCTCAGCTGACTCACTCAGGCTTCTGCCAGCATAGAGTCAGCAGCTGGAGCTGGTGAGGAAGAAAGCTATATATAAGTAAAAAAGGAAATAGTGGGTTTTGGACAGCAGAGCCTGAAGGCATATCAGCATCAGCGAGCTGGTGTGTTTGGAAAAAAAAAAAAAAAAAAAGGAGGCTCATGCATTGCAATTGCAGAATCTGAGAGGGGAAGTTATTGCAATGTTAAAAGTTATTTGGTTTTGTGTTTTTGTTTGTTTGTTTGTTTGTTTGTTTTTCTAGGGAGAGAAGAATGGCATTAAGGATCTTACATTTCTTATGTCTGATGGGACAAGAAAAATAAAGAAACTGCCCAGCTTATTCTACAATCATGCCCTTAGGAGAGATGCTTCAGTGAAACAGAAGTAATATACTGAAACAGCCAAGATAGTTGTAAGTAAGCCTAGAAGTTACTTAGTTAAGTTAAACAGTTAATCATTGGCTTCTCCTTGTGAGGATTCTATCCACAAGAACTACAGTAGTGAATACCTTATACAAAATAAACTGCAAATGAAGATTTATGATTCTCACAGTCAGTAAGTACAGGCAACAATTTACATTTTCTGCAAGTACTGTTCAAAAGAAAAAACAGCATTTTACTTATTTCCAGTGCAATTCTCTTTCAGTGCACTATGCATCAGAGGCAAATGAATTTTCAATAATGCATGTTCAACAGAGTAACTCCTTTTTTAAGCATGTTTGGTGAGTCCATCTCTTGAAATAATACTTAAAGAAAATCCCCAAATAAGCAAAATGATGATCATTTACAAGTGTTCTTCATTACCATCTGGCTCCTTTAGTACAATTGCTTGTCGTTCCTCATGATTATTTCCTCTGGTTTCATGGATGTTTTCAACTTCCTTCCAAAAATCATCCAAAGACATTGCATCCAAGGAGTCCTGGGAACCTGAGCGATCAAACGACGCTCCATCTGGAATCCTCTTGGAATCATCATGGTTCATTGTATACTGGCCAGAACGACGGCTATTAACATAAAACAAAGAGCAATTCTTCATTAGTGCTTTTAAATACATGATATAATAACACCTGCAAAGGCAGGTAATGATGAGCTGTGTCCAAGTATCAAAACAAACTATGTCAACAAGTAAATTGAGATATTTAAAATTACTTTCAATATCTGGAACATATATTTTAATCTAACATCATTGTATATATGATAAACATATCTGCCAATCTAGAATGACAAAGAAGAAATAACCACTGCAAGTTCTAGTAATCCTAGTCACATCTAATCTCTCAATCAATGTACAATAATCAGTTCCGCTAACTTCACAGTATATACATGGTATAACTCCATGGTATCTTCCTAGCACCACTGTTCATGAAGAATTTTTGAAAAGCACCTTTCATTTTCAGTAAAATCTTCTAGCTTCAACATACCCCTACTATTTTCCTTTGCTTTTCTGCTTCTGTTATTTTATTAATGTTTATTCTGGTATCTGTGACCTCATTTATATCTCAGAGAGGACAAAGTAGAATTACTGAACTTATAGCTAGTGAACTGCTAAGTCTAAATGTTTAATCAAGGTCATTCTTTGTTTCTTTCTATCTTATTTCCTCTCTGACTTACCATTTTTAGAGATTGATGTTGCTAGTGTTTAGTACACCCTGAAAAAATGTATTTTGCTAAGGCCTTCAAAAGCTATCTTTCATCTTAAGTATAGCTGCAATTAAAAAAGAAAAAAGAAGAAGAAAAAAAAAAAAGGAAAAGGAAACCAACAAGCTGAAATCTCTAGCTCTAACCTTGGCCCCAATAAGTCACTGTCAAAAGTTACCATTAACATAGCAACTAATTCACCTTAAAACATGCAAAGGTTGTTATGAAGACACTAAAGCTAAATATCATTCCTACAGTCAAATATACCAAAAATAAAAGCCACAACCCGATTCAAATTATCATGAAGAGGAGACAGATTGCACTATTAGCAACCTCATCTAACTTCAAAATTGACCCTACTCTGAGTGGGGGGAAATTAGACCAGATAATCTCCAGCAGTCCTTTCTAAATTAAGGAACTCCACTACCACAGCAGTATATCAGAATTATTTCTAGTATCAAAATATAGCCAGTCCTTAACATTTCAGGAACAGATTCAGCTGTCTTTCACAGAATCACAGAATGGCTCCGGTTGGAAGGGACCTCAAGGATCATGAATCACCAACCCCACTGCCAAAGCTGGGGCCACCAACCTTCCCATTTAACACTAGACCAGGGCTCCATTCAACCTGGTCTTGAACACCTCCAGAGATGGGGAGGTGTCTTGTTTCATGCCTGAATTTATCTCCATATTTAAAGAGTAGAGTTTAAGTTTGGGTTATATAATAAATATCGTTTATTCCAAGAGAAAAACAAAGCAAAGATCAAGCTTTGTGGATTTATCACAAGGTAAACCCAGCAAGGTAAGTCCTTCCTACCTTTCCATTTGGCTGACTTTACAGGTTTATCTAGAACTAAAACAAATCCATCTAGTCCTTACATTTTATCTTGGGACAACTAACGCTTGTTAGCTACCCCTAAGTAAAAAAGTCATACCTTTCTCTCTGAAGATAAGTCCCTTGTGTGTCCAACTCACAGATCCTTTCACTCCATCATGTGCTTGATTCTCTGATAAGAAATACTAACTATACGGACTTTGCTTTTAAAGGTAAAGAGTCCTATGGCAGGACAATCAGTTTCTACCCGCCCTGCCTCACTGCTCTAAGTACAAGTTAATAAATGACAGTGAATTACCACGCTCATATGCACCCCAACATTATTCTGGAACCTGTTGCTACATGAAAGCCCAGGAAAAAAAGTACATAAAGGAGCATTTAGTCTGTGCATCAATGACAGTAATATCTTAATGTTAAAGTACGGTGCTCAATAAATACAATTTCTGTATTGTAGATAACTTGGTCCTTACATCTTTCTGCACAAACACATCCTGTTTCTGACCTGTGCAGCCTGTGAACCCAACAGCAATTATTGTAAAAGGATGTTCACGGAGCTACATTGGAAGCATCCTCAAAAGCCAGAGCAGAGACAGAATAGCCATTTTCTGAACAAATGGTGTGAACCTTGGGAAGCAGGACAGGCTTTCAGCCACAGCTCGGGCTTCCCGCCTCACACTGTTGAAGGTGCCCAGACCAGACCGAAACCTCTCCACATATAGGCTCTGCACATTTGAACTGCAAGTAAAAGGAGGAAATGGAGGTCAGACTTCAGCTTATTGTCTCTCCAGCCAACAACCTGAAGCTGCTCAGCAGGTTTTCGATGGCCTTTCACCTTTGGAACAACTTGCTTCAGCTAACCAACCTCTGCTGAAATTTAACCACCATAGCACACCATGCAAAAGGTAAAGCTGACTGATCTAATACAATAAAATGGAGCACTCTGGGGGTGCCATGGCAAATTTAGGTAAGATAATCTGCTGTAGGTTGTTGACTGCAGGCTGTAGGCCACATCTCCATGGAAACATTTATCCTGGTCTTCCAGAAAAGAAAGCTCCTTTGGTTACCCAGATCAAACCACATCTCAAAAAACAGAAGTTTGTAACATCAGTTGCACAGCTGGCATCTGGCACAAAGACTCAAGCCCATTTTCAGGGTTCTGTGAGCATATGCTGCACAAAAACACTCCCTTAATCCTCAGAGACTGAACTCTTCAATGCCAGGTCACAGCTTTACTTTAGGTGACCAAACATAAGCACCTTTTCTTGTTCTGTTCTTTGTGGCCCAAACTCTTCATTTCTTGTTGACAAACTAGTATAGCACCTCCCAGCTCTGTGTAGGCCATAAAGCCACTGGACATTGTGAAAGATGACAATGTGAGAAACACACAGCTAGGAAAACCCCCCAAAATGAATATTCACACCAAAACCTGGCAGCTCTATTGCAAATCCCTCCTCCACATTTTATCTTGCATTCTTGCCTAACAAAAGTCACCTTTGGGGCCAATCAGCAGCACCCAAGAAGCTGACACTACAGATCATCATGCTGCCCACACCCACCTCCCTGTTCCTTTATATTTACTGCTTGGTCTATTGACCCCCTATCCCCAATTTCTGTTTAGACTGCAAACCCTTTCATAGCTCTCTTCTTGTTCTGCATGTCTCCACACCCACAGTTAATCTTTCTAGGAGCTAGGACACAAATAAGCTCACAATGAGAGAGGAAACTCCTAAAACTTCAGCTGACAGATCAGGTCAGATCTTACATTCACTTTGCTTGGTTCTATTTTCTTGCTCTACATGCCCAAGAGAAAAATGCCAGTGAAGCGGTATTTGGAGTGCAATCTGCACAGCAGAGGTGCCAGGCATACTCATCTCTGCACGTCCAATAACCATTGTGCATAACAAGGCACAACCAAGAAAGAACAATTGAAGATACTGAGCCCAACATTGATATCATAAGGTTGGTTTTAAGGAAAACATTGAAAAGAAAATAAAATGTACAGCACTGGTGTTTGTTTTTACATATCTGTTGACAAGACTAAAAACATGAGACTTCTGACATGACCTTCCACTAAATTCAATCCAAAGATGCTTAGCAAGCACCAGCTGTATATCATACAATAAAAACATATAGCAAAAAGAGGAGAAGAGAAAAAGCCATCAATCTTAAGATACTAAAGAAATCTGGAAGGGAGATATTTTAAGAAATCACAGAATCACAGATACACCAAGGTTGGAAAAACCTACTAGATCATCCAGTTCAATCATCCACCTATCACCAATAGTTCTCACTAAACCATGTCCCTCTACACAAAATCCAAATGTACCTTGAACACCTCCAGGGTCGGTGACTCCACCACCTCCCTGGGCAGCCCATTCCAGTGTCTGACCACCCTTTCAGAAAAGTAGTATTTCTTAACAACCAGCCTGAATCTCTCCTGGTTCAGCTTGAAGCCATTCCCTCTAGCTCTATTTCCAGTTACATGAGAACTTACCGTCAGGTAGTTATAGAGAGCAATAAGGTCTCCCCTGGGCCTCCTCTTCTCCAGACTGAACAATCCCACTTCTTCACCTGCTCCTCATAAAGCCTGTGCTCCAGACCCCTCACCAGCTTTGTTGCCCTTCTTTGAACCCGCTCCAGGGCCTCAATGTCTTTCTTGCAGTGAGGGGCCCAAAACTGGACACAGTACTCACAGTACTCGTGGTGTGGCCTCACCAGAGCTGAGTACAGGGGGACAATCACTTCCCTGTTCCTGATGCAACCCAGGATGCCATTGGCCTTCTTGGCCACTCCAGCACGCTGCTGGTTCATGTTCAGCCAAGCATCAATCAATACCCCCAGGTGCCTTTCCTCTACACAGTCTTCCAGCCACTCTGCCCCAAGCCTGTAGCATTGCCTGGGGTTGTTCTGGCCAAAGTGCAGGACCCAGCATTTGGTCTTGTTAAACCTCATCCCATTGGCTTCAGCCCAGCTATCTAACCTATCCAGATCTACCCCCAGGCAGATTGACACTTCCAGCCAAGTTGGTGTCATAAAAAAAAATAATGAATCCCACATTCTCAGCAAGAGTCATAAAATAACAAGCTGGAAAAACTATCAGTACAAAAAAAACAGTAGTCATTCAAAAAAAAACAAAAACAAACAAACAACAAACTCCAACTGTGACTGAAATTGCAGAAAATGTCACTTCTCCAGCACATTCCTACTTTTTATGGTGTTGAGATCTTTTTTTATTTAAAATTTGAAGAATGCTGCTGCTTTTCAGAACTAGCTTCAACAAAATATCTTTACTTCTTCCTGAAAATGTATACCACTAACAAACATAATCACTTAAAATAACACATTTAGCATTCCAGATTACTAAATTGTTAGCTTATTCTCCAGCAACTTTAAAAAAAAAAAAAATGCTTATTTCCATTACGGTATTAGCTAACAACATGATCAAAAACCATTCAGTTCTATTTCCAGTCACTAGTAAATAGTTCACTGTCCAGACAGCTTCACAGGAAGCAGTGCAATACTCTTCTTTCC